ATTCCAGATGTCTCAGATATGCATTTTCTTATGCAACCAAGCCATATGGTCAATGAAGTCTGCCACCACCAATCATGTTTCAGATTGTGTTATTTGACTGCTGTAGGGTAACAAATTGTGGTCATTTAGGATCTAAGAGATTTCAGTGTCCCTAATGCAAACAAACAGGAACTAACATTGGCCAACTGCCTCTCCCTTTGCAGCTGTCCTCACTTTCCTATAGAGATGGGGAGAGCAAACATTCCTCACGGCCGTGGAGTGGCTTGGCCTCCTGGCCTGGAACTGCAAAAGGAGTCACTACTGAGTGCCCCTTCCTGGCTTGGGGACTTCAGGGGCTTGTCAGTTTGGAGATGAAGGAGAGAAGGCCCTACCCGATGCACTGCACACCAGAAGGTCTTCTCCCTGCTCCTCTTTGGTTAGCTGTATTGTCCCATTTGAAATTGATGCCCTTGGTGAATAAGGAAAAAATCAGCTTGGAGTCTCCTAAGCAGGGTTGTCCCCTGACCAACTGGTTTTCCTGTGCTTGCTCCCTCAGCCCTCTTCCTGGTTAGTTCTTTTCACTGTGGCACTATATGGTTCCAACTCCCACAGCCCATTTTGTCTTTTAGTCCCAGCCCTTTCCTTTTCTAGGCCAACTTCCATCCAGTCTTCTGTATCTTTCCACCCTGAGACCTGAGGTTAGCTGACATCATCGTTAGGAAAGAGCTGAGTCTCAAACCCTTGCATTTAAATGGGAATAGTAAGGGCATCCTTCCAGAAGCCACTGCTACTTTGGAATGTCTGGGACCTTCCCTTCCCAGACTGAGGTTTTTGTAGCCTTCCGTCTCCTCTGACAGGACCAGTGTAGTACAACCCTAGCACGTCGCTCAAAATTCAAAATCTGTTTGGGGCACAGAATCCCACATCTATGAACCTTACAGAAGCTCCTTAATGTAACATACAATAAAGAATGTTTCCTGAGTACCTTTGATCTCAGAAATCATGCAGGTGCTGTCTAGTTGCCATCCCATTTAGCCTTCTTAGGAGGATATAAGGTTGGCTTTGTCACCCCATTTTGTGCAGGAAAACCCTAGAGCCCAGAAAAGGAAAGTGACTTGCCCTTTCCCACAAGCCTCCTTTGTCACTTGCTGTCAGGAGGACAGGAAGAATTGCTGAATCACTGTCCTCTGTAACAGAAGAGGAAAGCTTTCTGGCACTCCAGTTTGTGCTCATGCTATTCGTAAGCCCTGGAGCATGTTGACTCAGTTTCTCTCCTCTAGTCTGAAAACTTGCTTCTGCCTTGTGATCTCTGGCACAACTGAGCGCCTCCGCTCCTGAAGTCCACCCTTGTCCTTTCTTCTGGATGGTTTCATAAACTGCTGGCTTAGCCACTTTATTTTTTCCTTGTCATTTCTGCTTTTCTTTCTTGAGGGACCTCCGGCTTTCTAACTCTTGATTCCGTTTCCGCTCTGGATAAACCGTCAACACGACATTCAGGTTTCCCTCATGTGCCGCCTGGCCAGACTGGGCCAAGGGTAGTTCCGCCCTCATCTAGCAGACTTAGTCTGTCTCCCTGGACTCAGGTTCCACGCTTAGGCTCCCAGTGTTCTTTGCTATCTGTTGCTTGACTCATCCCAAGGAGGGGCTTTGTTTTCAGTTGCTCAGTAGAGCCTGGGCTCCACATAGTCTCGGGACTGGAGAGAGAATGAATTTCTTACACCCAAATGGATTATTGGAGAAGCTTTTAAACCTTTGTTGTGTTAAAAGAAAGCCTCAATGATATATCTATGATTAGATTTCATAAAGAAAATTAAGCTGAATGTATTAAATATATCAGAAGTTATAAAATGTAACCATTTTAATAAATGGAGAATCTAAGCTGGTTTGTTGAGTATGGTTGGAGGAATAAATGACAAAAGTCATGAAAGAAGCTGATTTTCCCTGTCTAGGTGTTGGATAATCACAACATTGACAGAAATATTAATATTTTTCCAGTGCACTGCTTTAATTAGGTAGCTAGGGCTGGTGTTGTGGGATCACAACAGTGCGTTAAACCACCCCCATGATGCCAGCATTCCATATGAGCACTGCTTTGAGTCCTGGCTTCTCCACTTCTGATTAAGCTCCTTGCTAATGTTCCTGAAAAAACAGCAGAGGATGGCCGAAATGCTTTAGCCTCTGCCACACACATGGAAGACTCAAGTGGAACTTTAAGTACCTGGCTTTGGTTGGGCCCAGCCCTAGCTGTGGCCATTCAAGGGGTGAACCAGTACATGGAAACTCTGTGTATGTATGTGTATCTCCCCCTCTCTTTCTGTAACTTTGACTTTCAAATAAAAGCAAATGCAACTTTTGAAAAGTTGTACTTATTTATTTGAAAGTCAGAGATAGAGGTAGAGATCTTTTATCCACTAGTTCATTCACCAAATGTCCCCAGAGCCAGGGTGAGGAAAGGACCTGGAACTCGGTCCTAATCTCCTTCCACATGGGTGGCAGGAACCAAACAAATTGGGTCACCGTTTCTGTCTCTTGGGGTGTACATTCATGGGGACCTGGACTCAGCAATGGGGCTGGAGTCTAAATCCAGGTCCCTGCTATGCATCTGGGAATTCAGCAGAAGATGACCCAAGTTGTTAGGTCCCTGGTACCCATGTGGGAGACCCAGATTAAGTTCTTGGCTACTGGCTTTGGCCTGGTCCTGGGCTGGCCATTGTGACCATTTGGGAAGTGAACCATTACATGGAAGATCTTTCTCTGTTTCTCCTTCCTTTTCTATAACTCTACCTTTCAAGTAAATAACATTCATCTTAAAAAGGAGAACCTTTACACTTCAGTGATAAAAGACTCAAAAGACAAATAATCCAGTTAAAAATGGGGAGAGAAGACTAGATTATTTTTAAAGATTTATTTTACTTGAAAGTCAGTGTTTAGAGAAACAGAGGGAGTGACAGAAAGAGAGAGAGAGAGGGAGAGAGAGAGAGATCTTCCATCCACTGATTTGTTCCTGAAATGGTCACAGTGATCATAGCTGGGAGGATCTAAACTGGGAGCCTGGAGCTCTTCTGCATCTGTAGGCACCCAAGTATGTGGGCCATCTTCTTCTGCTTTCCCATTCCATAAGCTGGTAGCTGGATTGGAAGTAGATTAGCCAGGGCTAAAACTGGTGCTCATATGAGATGTTGATGTTACAGGTGGAGGATTAGCATGCTACACCACTGCACCAGCCTGAACAGTTTGTATTTAAAAATTTTAAGAAAAGCTGGACATGGTTCACTAGCTGTGACAAATATAGCAACATGAGATATAGGGGAATTTGGATGTGGTTTATAGAATTGACAAATACACTAATATAAGATGCTGATGATGAGCTGTGTGGAGGTAATATGGAAACTCCATGCCTTATCTCACAATTTTGTTTTGAATATTTAAAACTATTTGAAATAGAAAGTTTGAAAACAATCAAAAACTGGGCAAAGAATTTAAATAGACATTTCTTCACAGAAGAGAAATCACATACACACACAAAAATGCATAAAGGCAGACTCAGTGTCATTACTAGTTACTAGGGAAATGCAAATGAAAGTGACTATGAAATCCTACTTCACAAACCTACTGTGCTAAAATAAAAACAGTAGAAGGTGTCGGAGAGGATATGAAAAGGTTGGTAGCCCCATACATTGTGAATGGCAGTGTAAAATAGAACAGCTGTTGTGTAAAACCGTTTGGCAGTTACTCCACAAGTTAAGCATATAGTTCCAACTTGACCCATCGGTTCTACTCCTAAATTTATACCCAAGAGAAATGAACATGGTCATGAAAACCTGTACACCATGTTCAATTTTTGTTTACTTAAGAGGCAGAGAGAGAAAGACATGCAGAGAGAACTCCCACTCACTGGCTAATTCTTCAAATCCCAGCAGCTCTGACCAAAGCCAGGAGCCAGAAACTTGATCCAGTTCTCCCACATGAGCAGCAGGGACTCAGCTACTTGAGCCATTACCTGCTGCCTCCCAGAACGCACAGTGGAGAAAGCAGGAAGCAGGAATAGAGCCAGAACTTGACCCCGGTCACTCTGATACAGGATGCAAGTGAATGTACCACCTAGAAATTGCTGGAAGCTCCGAGGGTGGAAGATTTAGCAGCAGCATTAGCCTCGCTCTCCTCCAACAAGAATTACTTGGTACACACAGTTGACTTCCAGAGATGTAAATTCCATACCTGTGGAGTCAACCAAGTAAGATGTAAAATCTTTGAACAAAGAAATGAATCTGAACTGAATGTACACAGACCCCCTTTTTTCCTTGTCATTGTTCCCTTATTCCCATTATCCCCATTATTATTGTGTAACAATGATTTCTACAGCATGGGAACTGCACTAGGTATTATTATATGTAGTCTGGAGACTATTTAAAGCATACAGGAAGATTGTGAGGTTTTCTTGAAAATAGGAAACTTGAACCACCATGGATTTGGTATCTGAAAGGGGTCCTTCAATCAACCCTGCATGGATATTGAGTGTGTGTGTGGCAAGGGTGGGAGGGGGGAGGAATTATATTTTGTAGGATGAAGAGGCTGGCTATCTGTAATAGTTTGTAATATGTCTGGTGTGACAATTGTGTCATGCATGTGTGTTATCAGGTTCACTGCCACTACACTAAAATCTCTTGTGAGAGAAGACTGCTTGGTGCATTTGGTGATACAGTTGGGGTGGGCCATCCTGTCTCTTTGGGGACATCATTTAGAAGACACTAGAAACATTAGTGGGTGACAACTCAGGAGTAACTTGTCCTACTGCCTCCATTAAGCTCAAATGCTTAAGGGTTTCCATGACTGGATTTTGTGGAAACAAAAATCCCACCTTTTAAACTGGTATCCTTGGCAAGAAAGTGTGTGGATTAAGGAGCTGTATGAGCAATCCACATCCCCAGTGAATTCCAGAGGTTCATCCTTCCCAAACTTTCTCTCTCTCTCTCTCTCTTTTTTTCTCCCCAGAGGAAAAGAGGTATCTGAAAGCCAACAACATGGAAGTCAGTATATTTTTTGAGTATCCGGTGAGTATCCCACCTGTGGCCATTTCCAGTGGAACTCAGTGTTCCACATCACTGTTTGCCTTTGCTGAAGCAACAACAGATTTATGGTCCTTCTGAGTTCTCCAGCAGAGATCCTACTTCCTGACCAGCTCTAACACAAGGAGAAATGCCAGGAGCAGTCTGAGAACAATATCCAACCGGGGACCTTGGGTCAGGGGTGTGGCGTTTATACTTAACCTCCTGGAAAAGAGCTTCTATGGCCACTTCTTGGGGGAAAAATGGAAGCATATTCCCACAATTTCCTTGTTGCATTTTGGCATCCATCTATGACAATATGTATAGCCCTGTCTCGGGCATTTAATAGCAATGTTGTTTCCCATTATTAACCAGTTTCCTCTTGATGATTGTTTGAAGTGTGATCCTGAATGAACACTATTATATTACATACAATTTGATCCATTTGTATGAGTATATCTTGCAAGAGCTTCACAAGAGTCAGCTGGTTGATATCTATTGGCAGGTTGTTCTGTGAAAGGCTGATATCCATTGATGCTTCTGCCTAGAGCAGAGATTATCCATTTCTCCACATTTCCTGCTGAATGGGTTGCCAACCTCAGTCTTGTTTCTGCCAGGCTTTTAGATGAAAAATGGCATTTTGCTATCTATTTCCTTGTTTTTGAATGAAATTGACAATCTTTCATGCCAATTAGCCATTGTGTTTTTTTTTTAACAAAAATTCTCTATCTATGTCTTCTACTCAGTTCCTATTGGTTTGTTCATTTTTACTTATTTACTTAAGAATAAGTAAATCAGGCCTGGTGTAATGGCTCAACGGCTAAATCCTCACCTTGCAAGTGCAGGGATCTCATATGGATGCCAATTCTTGTCCTGGCTGCTCCACTTCCCATCCAGCTCCTTGCTTATGGCCTAGGAAAGCACTGGAGGATGGCTCAGTTTCTTGGGATCCTGCACCCACGTGGAAGGCCTGGAGGAACCTTCTGATTCCTGACTTTGAATCAGCTCAGCTGAGCTGTTGTAGCCATTTAGGGAGTGTACCAGCGGATGGAGGATTTTTCTCTCTGTCTTCCTTCTCTCCATAAACCTGATCTGCCATTCCAATAAAAAGAATAAATCTTTTAAAAAATAAGTAACTTATAAAAACATATGTATTTAAAAGCCATGCTCCAACTAATACGCCATCTTTGTCCATATCTGCTGCCTATTGCAATATATTTTTCTTTGTAAAATAGATTTATATTCTTATTTCCCCACTGTCTTATACCTGCCTTGTCTGCCCCCTACAGAGCCAATCCGCATGCCCACCGATAAATGAAGCAGCTTTCCTGGCCTGGCCAACACCCAGCCCTGATTCATGTGTCTTCATACAGTCCTGTATGGAGCAAGCAACATGGGCACTTTCAAATCCTCTGGGTCCCAAGAGGACATTTCTTCCTTCCCCTCCTCTGGATGGGAGCCTTTGGGGTCCTCTTCTCTTTCCTGAGGAGCCCAGGTCTTCTTTATGAAGCCTGGAAAGGCAGGAGCAGTTGGCCCTCAATTCAGTCTTGAGCTGTCATTTGTTTCCTTAATTGTGCTTGTTTGTGTTTACTCACAGAACAATACCATCAAGACCTCAAAATATAATGCTTTCAACTTCCTGCCCTTGAACCTATTTGAACAGTTTCAGAGATTGGCCAATGCTTACTTCCTCGTTTTGCTGTTCCTACAGGTATTGCCTTATGGAGCCTTTTCCACAGAGTGTTAGGTCTAGGGTCAGGTGGTGTCCTCAGCCTGTCCCTTCCTCCCCAAATTGTCTTCTGTCTTCAGGCAACAGAGAGATGCATGGCTGGTGTCTCAGGCCAGTATCTGAGGGTACTGGGTCATGGCTAATCAATGTGAATCCAGCCCATGTGACAGAGGAAAGAGACAGGCTTACTGACTCCCACAGTATGGCCACGGCTCAGCTTAACCACAGTAGGAGGCCATGGTTTCTTTATCTGGACCCCACCTGCAAACTTGCTCCTCAAGTCATGACATGCAGAAGTGTGGAGGAAGGGATGTTTTAGACTTCAGCACACTGGCACAGGAAAGGAAGCAGGGGCTGGTGGGTCCTCAAATAGGTGCTGCAGGGGTGCAGGAGAGTGTGTGGTTTTCCCGTCTCTACTCTCAGCATCCCACCCCATTAGCCATCATAAGGGGAGAAGTGGCCCTTTGCCACCATCAACCCAGAGAAGGCTCAGTCTGGGGCCAACAGCCTTTTCTTCTGTTTTCTCCTCTTGGGATATGCTTACTTACATTTGAGGGATTATTATAAAAGCTATGCTGTAACAGCAAGCAACTGGGACCAAAGATTTTGTCATGAACCCTCGGAGGAGAAAACAGCTGCAGGACTGGAGGGCTGGGGGCATGGGGAATGCACCATCCTTTAAACCTTCTAACATGGGCTTCTCTGCCTTCTCCTCTCACAGCTGATTCCACAGATCTCCTCCTTGGCGTGGTACACAACTGTGATACCCCTGGTGGTGGTGCTGTCCATAACAGGCGTGAAAGATGCCATCGATGACGTGGTGATGTGACTCCCTGGTCCCTTTGCTTGCCCCTAAGTTAGGTCTTGGCCCAAAGGACCTCCAGCAGCTACTCTAAGTGCTAAGCAGAAGTGCTGAGTGGAAGCATGGTCTCCTCTTTGTTTCCTTACCTAATCCAGGGTGATTGCCTCCGGGCCATCGTTGGTGGGTTTGGGCACAACCAGAAACAGAGCCTGAGAGGCCTGTCTACACCTCCAGCCTCCTGGGTCTCCTTCCCGCTTCTCTACCATACCCCTTCTTCCTTCTCTCTCCCCTGAGCTTTCCTGGGTTTTGCCCTCATCTTTCTTCTGTTCCCATGTGTGTTTGTGTGTGTATACTGTTCTTCCCTTGGTTCTCTGATCCCTCTTCCTCCTGTTGTTTTTCTTTCTTCCCTCTCTATATCCTTTCTTCTCCCCTCTCCCTATTTCCCTTTCCAACTTTCAGTTGTGTTAGGCATGCACAGCTAGGAACTGCAGGCTTATAGAAATGCAGGCAGAGGCCAGCACCTGGCCTTGGGAAGTGGAAGCAGATCACAGTGAGACCGTGTAGCCTCCATCTGCTGCTTTCAACACGCTGGCACAGGTGTCGTGGGTGCTGCCTCAGAACCCTGCCTGCTGGTGGGATTTGGGAAAACCAGTCCTGAAACCTGCTTGTGATTTCCTTAGAGAGCTCTGCTGACTCTGCCAGGATGGATTTGCAGGCTGCAATTCAACAGCATGTGTTCCTTTAAAAGTTAACTCTCTGAACACTTTCTATCTGGGTTATTCCTAGTAATAAGTTTATGTGTTAGACATGAGTCGGAATTCATTCATTCCCGTGAAAACAACTGGTTTAGAGCACAGTCACTTCAGGATAAATATTCAGACACTTTTAAAGCATAACAAATCAGGGTTCTCTTTGCCTGCTCTCAAATCTGCCATTTTCCCAGGGGAAATCTCAGCAGGAAGAAGTGCACAGGGATGCTGACATCGGGACATAGGTCATCTTTGCTCCCTTTCTGTTTGGTCTTAGAGTATTGACCTCTTTGCAAGTTGCCCAGCGGTTAGTGGTGGGGTGAGAGTCCTCTGCACCTGCCCAGGTGCCGCCCTCTGTTCTGTGTTCTGTCCTCGGCAGCCTTGGACACAGTTCTCACCCCTCTGGCCTTCTGCTGCTGAACAACTGGGAGTTTGTCCCATCCTTCTCCCCGGTTCTTTTTCCCTCCCCAGCTTCCCAGAGACAGTCAATTCCAGGCCTGGGTTCAGTGGTAGAAGGACTTCAGGGTAGCAGAGGGAAAAAAATTAGAGAAGGGGAGCTATATTTTTAACCTTCTAATTTCAGTATTCACATTCTAATGCTGCTTATTTCTAATCTGTTTATTTCCTGAACATTTTCTTATTTTCTTACATGACTTTTTTTGTATTCTTTAAAAAAATTTTTTTAATTGATTACATTGCATTATGTGACACAGTTTTATAGGCACTGTGATCCCCCCTCCACTCCCCAAAACCCGCCCCCTTTTCTTTTCTTTTTTCTTTCTTTCTTTTTTTTTTTTTTTAGAAAAGGCACAAAAACGACAACCAAGTCAACAACCGTTCTGTTCTGAAGCTGGTGGATGGCAGGTAAGCTCCTCTTTGGAAGCCACTGTAGGCAGGACCAGGCTGGGGGGCAGTGGCCTTTCTTCAAGCTTGACATGCTGCATCCTTTGGGGAAAGTAATTCAGGACAGGTGAAAGAACTGTGGGCAGCAGAAAGAAAAATGGTGTTTCTAGATCTTATCTAAGGATACCCTGGGCTTAGCACGTTGCTGCTGAGTCAACTTCCTCTTTTTTGAAAAAGCAAAAACAAACAGAAAAAACATTCTCCATATACCTTTCAAAATAAAAACATGAAGGTGTATATATATATACACACACATATATAAGCACTTAATATATGATAATATGATATTATTTTGCAAGCAACTGTTGCTAGTGTGTGGACAGCCGAAAGCATGAAGACCTCTGCCATTTGGTCATTATTGATTCTCACATGACCCACAGGCAACTCTACCAGCCTTTTGTCAGATCCTCTTTCCTGTTAACAATCTGTACAGTGTTGATGTTGACCCCATGTCTGCGATGTTTAGTCATAACTATCCAAAGGGTTGGCAGGAATGCATCCTGTATCGGGTAGAATAGGAAAGCAATCCTATGAGGTACAGTAAATTACTATAAGAGTTAATTTTAAAAAAAGCTAGCTAAAGCTTTCTGGAGGAGCTATGGGGAAGAATTAAATGTGAAGAAATTGGGCCTAGCGTGATAGCCTAGCTGCTGGATCTTTGCCTTGCATGCACTGGGATCCCATAAAAGTGCCAGTTGGTGTCTTGACTGCTCTATTTCCTTTCCAGCTCCCTGCTTGTGGCCTGGGAAAGTAGTGGAGGATGACCCAAAGTCTTGGAATCCTGCACCCACCTGGGACACCTGGAAGATGCTCCTGGCTTTCCCAGCTTCATATCGGCTCAGCTCCAGCCATTGTGGCCACTTGGATAGTCAACCAGTGGATGGAAGATCTTTCCTCTGTTTCTCTTTCTTTCTGTAAATCTGACTTTCCAATAAAAATAAACAAATCTTTTTATTTTTCAATAAGGAGAGATTGTGTGGAAGGGAAAGTGACACCATGAACAAAAGCATGATTTTAAGTACAAACCTGAGGGAATTTAAGATGGAGGGCCAGCCGTCTTCATGATGGCCCCTTAGAATTCCAGTAGCTATGATGTTTATCATGTAGTTCTCATACATTTGGGGCATTCAATACTGTTGTTTCTGCTGATTCCAACATTTTGTTGGTGTTTGCTCAATTGTTTTGAACTGTTGAAATTCTCTTAAGATACCACCCAAAAAGCCTGTAGAATCACCATGTCAGCCCTGGCAGTTTTTTTTTTTCCAATATGTATGTATTTATTTTTTAGAAAGCAGGATTACAGAGACAGAGAGGCAGAGAGGGAGAGCTTTCATCTGCTGTTTCACTCTCCAAATGACTGCAACAGCCAGGGATGGGCAAGGCCGAAGCCATGAGCCAGGAACTTCATTCAAGTCTCCCACATGGATGCAAGGGCCCAAGAATGTGAGCCATCCTCCTCTGTTTTCCCAGGCCATGGATCAGAAATGGATCAGAAATGGAGCAGCTAGGGAGCTGGATCAGAAATGGAGCAGCTAGGATTTAACTGGTGCCATTATGGGAATGCCGCCACTACAGGGAACAGCTTTACCCACTACACAACAGTGCTGGCCCTTAAGTAGGTTTTTTTTTTTAAATTTTAATTTTTTAATTTTTGTTTTTTAATTTTTTTTTATTTGTTAAGCTCCTATTTTCACTCATGATGCTGCCTAGTGTCCTGGCTTTGCAGGGGACTCTTAGGTGCAACCCCACTGCCTCTCGGGATATTAACGCTTTACCTCTCCCTGTGATGGGAGAGGCTGAAACCTGAGTCAGGTGATGATAGAAGCCCTGGCTCCTCCCTGATCCAGGGCAGGAACAGCTTTAGAGCATGCCTGGTGTCCTGGGCTTCACGGCTCTCCTCTCTCATGGCTCCTCACTGGACGTTAGGTACAGTCTTGTTTGTGAAGCATGTGGGCTGTATCTTATTCAGTATGTCTAAGTACAGGAAGCATCAGTACGTTCTAGAGCCCCCAGGAGGTACCATTCACATGCAATAGTGAATATAATGTGAACGGGCCCATTCAAAGCCAAGCTCTGCTTTCTTTAGCCTCTGACCATGTTTTCTAAACCACAACATATCATACAATGACTGGAAGTAAAAAATGTATTTATGGCACAATTGAGCATTTTAAGTTGGTAGGGTGTGGTGGCCTATCAGGCTAGTCCTCAGTCTGCAATACTGGCATGCCATATGGGTGTTGGTTCAAGTCCCAGCTATTCTAGTTCTTTTTTTAAAAAAGGTTTATTTTACTTTTATTGGAAAGTCAGATATCCAGAGAGGAGGAGAGACAGAGAGAAAGATCTTCCGTCCGATGATTCACTCCCCAAGCGAGCGCAATGGCCGATGCTATGCCGATCCGAAACCAGGATCCAGGAAATTCTTCCAGGTCTCCCACACGGGCACAGAGTCCCAAGGCCTCGGGCCGTCTTCTACTGCTTTCCTGCAAGTAGGGAGCTGGATGGGAAGTGGAGCTGCCAGGACCAGAACCAGTGCCTGCATGGGATCCCGGTGTGTTCAAGGCGAGGACCCCAGCCGCCAGGCCACACCATTGGGCTCAGATACTTCATTTCTGACCCAGGTCTCTGCCTGTGACCTGGGAAATCATCAGAAGATGACACAAGCCCTTGAACCTCTGCATCTAAGTGGGAAATCCAGAAGAAGCCTGGCTTTGGATCAACTCAACTCTGGCCTTTTGGGGGGTGAACCAGAGGCTGGAGGACCTGTCTTCTGTCTCTGCTCTTCTCTCTGAAAAACAACAGCAACAAGAACAACAAAAATGACCTTCAAAATAAATGTTCTTTAAAAATCAGTAGGGAATAATTCTCCCTTTTCCAAACCTGGACCATATCTTTTTCCCCTTAAATCATGTCCAGGAACAAATTATGAATAGTTTGACAGCTCCTAACATAGCGAAATAGTTTTAAAATTTCTAGGAGAAGCCAAAATCTCAAAGTCTTTGTTTTTCCAGGTTTTACTGGTGAAAATCATATTAGGTAGACTATTAGAGGACTCATAAAAATGAATGTGGGATCTATTAGAGGACTCATAAAAATGAATGTGGGATCAAAACAAAACAAAAGAGATCTTTCTCAGATGCTTGTAACCATTACTTTTTAATATTAGCAGAGCATTCTCTAAAGAAAATAAAATAACACAAAATAATTTATTAAAAAATGATGTATTTGAAAGGGAGAGACAAAGGGAGGGAGAAATCTTCCATTTACTGGTTCATTCTCCAAAAGGCCTCAATAGCCAGGACCAAAGCAGGAGACAGAAGCTCAGTCTGAGTCCCCCACTTGGGCAGCAGGAACCCAAGGGCTTGTATCATCACTCAGTGCTTTCAGAGTGCACCATACAGGGAACTGGAATCAAAAATGCAGCTGAGATTTTAGCCTGGGCACTCTGATGTGGGAGCTGCAGGCATCTCAAGGGACACCTCTACTACTGCACCAACTGACCATCCTAAAAGGCGTATTTAAAAAAAAAAAAGTGGTGGGGGAGTAGCTTAGGCCTGGCATGGTAACCTAGTGGCTGAAGTCCTTGTCATGCACATCCAGAATCCCATATGGGCACAGGTTCTAATCCAGGCTGCTCCACTTCCCATCCAGCTCCCTGCATATGACATGAGAAAAAGCAGCAGAGGATGGCCCAAAGCCTTGGGACCCTGCACCCACATGGGTGACCTGGAAGAAGCTCCTGATTCCTGGCTTCAGATAGACTCAGCTCTGGCCATTGCAGCCTCTTGGGGAGTGAACCAGTGGACAGAAGATCTTTGTCTCTGTCTTGACTTCTCTCTGTATAACTAACTGCCTTTCCAATAAAAATAAATAAGTCTTTAAAAGAAAACTTTAAGGTAACTCAAGCTGGGGCTGGCATTGAAGCATAGTACGTTAAGCTGCTACCCACAATGCTGGCGTCCTATATGAGCATCACTTGATTCATGGCTGCTCCACTTGCAATCATTTCCTTGCTAATGCTCCTTTTCTTGACTATTTTAACTAAAAAGCAGTGTGTGTTGACAACAACTTCCACAGGGTTTTAGAAAACTCTTGAGAAGGGAAGTCAGAGCAGGCCCCTTCCTGATTCTGCCAAGGATGTATCCCAAAGAAGTGTGGTCATCTGGGTTGTGTGTGGGGGAGGGGGTGGTTTTCCTCAGTCTCCTCACTCATCTTGTTTCTTGGTTGTTACAGAGCCTGGGGTAAATTCTCAGAGAGGGCATCTGAAGGTCGTTTATTTTCTTACAGGATGGAGGAAGACAAATGGATGAATGTCCAAGTGGGAAATATCATCAAACTAGAAAATAACCAGCCTGTTACGGTGAGTCCTCCCCCTGGCCTTGGCTCTTGCCTGCGGCGGGAGGCGGAAACCGGGACTCTAACAGCGCCTGGGGCGCCGCAGCCTTGGGGGACCTTTGTCTGCCTCAATTTGCAACAGGGACAACCCACAGCTCCCTTGGTAAGAAGCTTGTTCTTGTCCATCTGTTACCATAGCTACACATAAAGTGCAAGTGGTGTATGGTTTAGAAGGGCACACAGCTACAGTGATGGAGTCTAAACCAACATAAAAAAAAAAGTGAACCAAGTGCCTGAAAAATTCTTAGGATGAACCTGTGTTTCCAAGGGGCTGCTTTGCTCACACTGCCCTGTTAAGAGCCTGCCTTCCTGCGCCCCTTAGCTTCTCTGACTTTTCTGCCCACAGGCAGATATGCTGTTACTCTCCAGCAGTGAGCCATACAGTCTGGCATATGTGGAGACAGCGGACCTGGACGGGTGAGTGTCCCCTCCTGAGAGGCCATGAAGACAGTTCAGCCAAGCTAGAGGGGTCTCTCACTGAGGGACAGCACAATGCAGGGAATTAATTACAGCTGAATGCTTCGTACCCTGGAGTCTAACATTGAGTGCTTTGAGGTCCCTGTTCTCCATCTCTAACCTGGAGATGTTTCAGCTCTCCAGTCAGCCCCTCAGTACCAGCATGAGAGAAGAGAACAGTGAGAGTGACGCTTAAGGCTCAAAGCTCTAGCCCCAGCCCCAGCAGTAGCATCTGTTGTGTTAAGGCCCATGAAGAAGGAGAAGAAAATACACCTGTGTTGCTACTGTGTGTGTCCTGCTCTGCAGAACCTGTGTCCTTCCCTGTAGGGAAACCAATCTGAAAGTGAAGCAGGCCATCTCCTGCACCTGTGACATGGAAGATAACCTGGCCTTGCTGTCTGCCTTTGATGGTGAGTTAGGAAACAGGTTTGCTCATCTGCATCTTCCTTGATAGGAGGTGGGTTAAATGAAGTGTGGTGCCATCCCTGCTGTACATTCCATACAATTTATAAATAATCTGCACGTTGATATCACCTGGTATGGAAACCACTCATGACATATTAATAACAGAAAAAGACAGATTGCTATATATAATTTAAACCTGGTTTTGGAAACATACTCATGTTGATGCGTACACATATACGTGTATAGAAAAAGCCTTAGAAAGAGATAGCCTAGGTTATCAGCATTTCACTCTAGACAATAGGTGGATTTTACTCTTTGCTTTATTCTTTCAGTATTACTTAAATATTTCAAAGGGCAAACTTTACAAGTCAGGAAGAAGTCCAATTATTTTACTTTTTTAGAGGAAGATAGGTTTGCTTGGAGTGGTTTTGTGTTTCCTCGGATGTGGAGCTCATCTGGCTTTGCCATGCTGGGGTAATAAGTTCCAGGTTGCTTTTCCTCTCTCTTGGATGACCTGGGGGCACATACAGAATTGTTTTTGTTCGATGACCCCTAAGCCTTTTCCTGGGGAGCTGATGAGAAATGGGCAGTAGCTGAGAGAGCACAGGAAATAACTGCCTGTGTTAGGGCTCTTTCCATCCTCCAAGGAAAGACCCAAGACCCCAGAGCCAACACGCCTCCCCATTTTTCTGCAGGAGAAGTCAAGTGCGAGCTTCCTAACAACAAGTTGCACAAATTCACAGGAGTATTGACCTATAAGGAGAAGGACTACTTCCTGGACCATGACAAGTTGCTACTCCGAGGCTGTGTCATTAGGAACACAGATTGGTGCTATGGCCTGGTGATTTATACAGGTGTGTTTCCCTGGAGCCCTAGCCTACCGCTAGATTCCACTCATGGCTAAGTTGTGGGCATATTGTTTCTAGAATATAGAGATGGTAATAAGAAATATACCAGAATGCTATGGCTTTGGGATAAATAAGAGAGATAAGGAGAAACAAGACCATATTTCTTAGTGGGAAAAAAATCTGTTTTCCAAGTAATGAACTGCAACACATCAATCCTGACTTTGTTAAAGGAAAGCTTTGTGTTCCAAGACCATAGAACAGCCATGAGAGTCTCGAACTATATCTGGACGGATAAGGCTGTACACACGTGGTGGAAGCACAATGGATTTATGATGTGAGGGGCTGGGATTATGGCACAGTGGGTTAAGCCACTGCTGCCTATGATACTGGCATCCCATCTGAGCACCATTCCATTTCCTAGCTGCTGAACTTCCCATCCAGCTCCCTGATAACGCACCTGGGAAGATAACTTAAGGGCTGGGCTCCTGCCACCTATGTGGGGGAACCAAAAGGCATTTCAGACTCCTGGCTTTGGCCTGACCCAGTCTTGGCCATTGTCAATTGGGAAGTGAACCAGCAGATAAAAGGCCTCTCTCTTTCTCTCTCTTTCTCTTCTGTTCTGCCTTAGAAGAAAATAAATGGGGAGGGGAAAGAAAGGGAGAGGGAGAGACAGAATGACAGAGCAGAAAGAAAGGAAGGAGGGAAGGAAAGAAGGAAGAGTTAAAATGTGAAAGAAGATAATGTGTATGGAGGCAGAATACTCTCATGAAGAGAGACTAGATCCAGTTGTCATTATGGAGACAATAAAATACTATATGGAAGGTTCATGCTGGAGAAGAGGCATGCATGGCTCATTAGCAGTGACTGTTCTAGAGAAGTCATTTATAACCATAACCCATTCAGACACTGGATTATGATGTATTTCAGGGATGTGGAAAGAGCCTCCAGGCTACTCCATCCCCTTGGCAATAATGGGCAGCCACAACCACCACCATGGTAGGAAGCACTAAGAGGGATTTGCTACAGTGCATAGGACACAACTCACATTCCTAGAGCTCCCTTGTTGGTCAACCTGACCCTGACTATGAGTGCTATGGAAAAGACCAGCACCCACAGCCTAGGAGAAGCTTAGGAGTCCAAGCTAAAACTTCCTTCATTGGCTTTGACCTAGACAGGCAACATCTTAGGCTAACTAGCTCCTAAATTCAGAAGATTTGAAGTATAAACATTCTCCCTCACAACTGCCACTTTGTAAAGATTCTTTTTTAAATATTCATATTTTTCTACTGGAAAGGCAGACTTACAGAGAGGAGAGACAGGAAGATCTTCTGTGTGCTAGTTCACTCCTCAAATGGCCACAACAACTACAGCTGAGTTGATCTGAAGCCAGGAGTTTCTTTAAAGTCTCACATGCAGATGCAAGTCCCAAGGCTTTGGGCCATCCTCTACTGTCTTCCCAGGCCATAGGCAGGGAGCTGGATGGGAAGTGGAGAGCTTATGGGAAGCAGGAAGCTTATGGGGAGTGGAGAGCTGGGACATGAACTGGCACCCACATATTGAAAGCTGGCACTTTCAAACTGAGGATTAGCTTGGTTGAGCCATCATGCCAGCTCCCCTTAAAAGTTTATTTTTCAGCCCAACGTCTCCCCTGACATCCCTACTTCACTAGCAGTAAGATTGTCAACCAGCACAAATATAGTGAAGGTTTCTCTCTGATTCTTGACTGACTCTGTGTAGTGGGTGACTCTGGACAGCTCTGAATCAGGAGCAGGGATGCTGCCACAGGGCATCCAGATGTATTCAGTACAGAACTGAGCCACTGCCTGTGTTCTGCAATGCACATGTCCTACTGTAATCTCGACCTTCTTCGGCCAGCCTTCCCAGGCTCACAGCCAAACTTCTGACTTCCAGCCTCCCAGAAACTCATGGCATGGCATGTGCTGCACCTGGTCAGTGGTTTGCCCACCTAGCAAGGAGGTGCAGCCCTGGCATGTAAACACTGAGGAGCTCATGCAGGAATGGCAGTCTGATGGCGAAATGCCAGGAAAATCACATCTGACAGCTTCTCCCAAGAACTTCCAGGTTTTCTCAACAGCCTTGTCTCTAGTAACTGAATTCCAGGACATGGAGAGCTCCTTACTTCTCCTTCCTGTCCTGCCTGTCTTGCCTGTCTTGCCTGTCTTGGGCTCTCCGCTCCAGAACATTCTGCTACTTAGCTTCCCTCTCCAATGAAATCAATATTCAGGCCTGGTGCAATGACTCAATTGGCTAATCCTCCCCTTCGAGTGTCAGGATCTCATAGAGGTGTCAGTTCATTTCTCGGCTGTTCCACTTCCCAACTAGCTCCCTGCTTGTGGCCTGGGAAAGCAGTCAAGGATGGCCCAAAACCTTGGGACCTTGCAGCTATGTGAAAAACTTAGAGGAGGTTCATAGCTCTTGGCTTCAAATCAGCTCAGCTCTGGCCATTGCAGCCACCAGGGGAGTAAACAAGCAGATGGAAGATCCTTCTGTTTGTCTCTGCTTCTTTCTGTAAATCTGCCTTTCCAATAAAAAGTGTGAAAAAAGTCATTATAAAAATGAATCACTACTAGTGCCTTTTCCTTTTCCCCTCTTCTAGTTCAAGACGTTCAGTGGGGCCCAGCCAGGTAGAGGGGTTCCTCAGAAGAAGGTAGAGGTCTTTTTATTAGTAAATTCCTGAGGAGGGAGATTTTTGTGACTCCTGGCCTGCCTTAACGGAAGTCCAGGCAGCCTGAGGCACTACAGAGAGAGTGATAGCACCGACACAGCTCGCAGCCTCTGGGACTCTTTCCCGAAGGTTCTTCCATTTGTCGTTATGGGCGCCCACTGGGAGCTTTTCTGCAACACTGTAGCTTCTGAAACTGGGCCAGGAGATGAGATTAGGTGATCAGAAAAGAACATTCCAACCCAGTTCCAATTCTCTGAATGTATTCAGTATTCCCAAGAGCTCACATCTCCCCTTTTACCTAGGCCCAGACACCAAGTTGATGCAGAACAGCGGGAAGTCTACTTTTAAACAGACACGCATCGACCATTTAATGAATGTACTTGTGCTCTGGGTAAGTTAGAGGTGATTTTTTTTCTGTTTCTTAACAAACATTCTTAACATTCTTAACATTTCCTTCTTCTTCCCATAAGCATTGCAGCTGTTATCTGCAGCTCTGAATTTGGTCATTGGAAAGTCTTGCAGGGTTTGAGGCAGAAAAGAACTAAGTTGATTTTGAAGGAGTCAGGTTTACATCTGTGTAGTGGAGTGTTGTGCTTGCTTAAACAGCCACCGCACTTTTAGGGGCTCATGTTTGGCCTAGCAGTTAAAACACCTACGATCTATGTTATAGTGCTCTGGCTCCTGATGCAGCCTTTGGGGAAAACCGACTTTGGAAGCAGTGCTGATGGCTCAAGTAGCTGGGTTCTTACCAGCCCCATGAGCAACCAGAATGAAGTTTCTGGCTCTAGATTTTTGGCTTTTGTTAGCATTTGGAAAGTAAGCCAGGATATGGAAGCTGTCTCTCTCCTCACTCTCAAATAGATGAAACATTCAGTACATAAAAGAACCTATTTTTACTTGAAAATGAAGAATTACAAGAGGAGAGAAACACACACACACACACACACACACACACACACACACACACAGCTTTTCCATCTGCTGGCTTTCTCCCCAAATGGCCATAATGGCCAGAACTGGGTCCATCTGAAGCTGGGACTACATCAAACTAAGAAGCTTCTGTACAGCAAGGGAAACAATCAACAAAGTTAAAAAACAACCCACAGAATGGGAGAAGGTCTTTGCACACTACATAGGTGATAGAGGACTAATCTCCAGAATATACAAAGATCTCCAGAACAACTAAAACACCAAAACAAACAAACCACTCAAGAAATGGGCATGGGAAATGGGCAGACATTTCACAAAGGAATGAACCCAAATGGCAAACAAACATACGAAAAAATGCTGCCTGCTGACTACAACTTCCTGTCCATGCAAGCCTGGAAGCTGTGGTGATGGCTAAGTACTGGGGTTCTGGCCAACCCTGTGGGAGATCTGAGATCAATCTCCTGGCTCCAGCCCTGGCCCAACCCTAGCCCCATTACAGGCATTTGACAAATGAACCAACAAGTAAGTACTCTCTCTCTCGCTCTCTCTCTCTCTCTCTCTCTCTCTCTCTCTCTCTCTCTCTCTTTCTCAGATATATAAAATGTGACTTTAAAAAAAAAGGCAGATCTTGATATCTTCTTCAGAGAAGAAAAGGTCAGGTGCAGGAACCAGGAATCAAGCATTGGATCCATGGCTAAATCCTCGTCGTGCAAGTTCTGGGATCCCACTTGGCTGTCATTTTGTTTCCTGGCTGTCCAACTTCCCCTCCAGCTCCCTAATTGTGGCCTGGGAAAGCAGTTGAGGATGGCCCAAAGCCTTGGGACCCTGCAGAAGAGGCCCAAAAGAAGCTCCTGGCTCCTGGCTTTGAATCAGCTCAGTTCTGGCCATTGTGACCACTTGGGGGGGTTAACCAGTAGATGAAAGATTTTTCTCTCTGTTTCTGTCCATACTCTGATCTGCCAATCCAAAATTAATTAATTAATTAATTAATTAATTGATTGATTGATTCTGTTGTTGACCTTCTCAGTCAACAACAGAAATCCAGTGGAGCTATTGATGAAGTGCAAGTGTAAAGGAATATCCATATGTGTAAGGACAAAAAGTTTACCCTTGCATACCTTCTTAGGAAGTTTCTAGAATGTAGAGTCAAGCAAAACAAGGAAGAAACCTTTATGGGAGCCAGGAAACATGAGAGGAGTGGCAGGAAGGTCTGGGATGAGCAGGCCCAGAGAACTGCTGCTGCCAAGTAGAGCAGTGTAGAGGGATCTGTGTCTTCAGCGAACTCTTGCTTCTCCTCTCTGCCCTCATAAGGCAGAGAAAGCAGCCAGCAGGTAGCAGCAGCTAAACCTGTTGGGAAAAGCCCTGCTGGCAGAGCAGCCGCTGTCAAATCCCACATCTGTGAAGTGACTCCTGCAGACTTCTCTTCAATAAGGATGGCGTGCTGTCTGGGCTACTGTGTTCACTCCACGGCATTTAAAGATGAACATCATGACTTCCTGGTTAGGCTGCATGAAAGTACAAGCAGCAAAGCAACACCTGACTTTTCAGTCATAGGACAAAGATCCATCAAATGACCTGAGAGGTCGATAGCTTTTTCTGTGCAGAACATCAACTATCCAAGCTCACATTGATGGTAAAAACCAACTCAGCAGCAAATAATGCCTCAGTAGATTACAGAATTATCAGCGGGGTGGTCCAGTGTCCATGCAAAGGGAGGTGGAACTGCCTTCAGGTGGTTGGAGAGATATCCATTGGGCCCTGCCATGCAGCAGGAAATTCCTAGAGGCCTTGCCTGTAATGGAACAGTTCTCTTCACACCTTCATGTGCTCCACACCCACTGCATGGACCCCAGCAAGTCTCATGGGAATAAGAATAACTGTCCTTTAAAAAGTGGAAATTAGCCTTGTCGGAGGCTCAGACTCAGCAATGGACAACATGTCCAGGTGCACATGGAGGATGTGGTAAGTTCATCAGAACCAGCAGAGGACACTTGGTACCTCCACAGAGGATGGAGGACAGAATCACCCCAGCCATCTGTTGGTGGTGAAAATCTGGGCAAACAGACTCTAAGGTGGACTATGTCAGCCAGTGGATTCAGGAGAGATTTCACTGTGCTTGGAATCGTGAGATTGGCAGCAATTCAGAACTGTTCAAATGTCAAAACCACTTAAGCAGTGGCCTAGAAGGATGCCCCAGGTTGGGGACCCTGGGATGGGTAGGAGGCTGGGTGGGCTTTTCTCTTTATCTCTGCCCTTACCCTTGATACAGAAAAAAAAACAAAGAGTTTTCCTTGGAATTGTAGATTTTAGGAGAAAATAAAACACTTTTATGGCTTAAAAAATGGAAATTACATTAGCATCACACTTATCACTAGTGCTACTAAGTCCAGGAAGCCAGCAGGGTCCTGCTTTCAAACTTCTTTGTATAAGTTATTTCAGGCTAGAAAGATCTACTCAGGCGAACTACGCATCATGTCAGGGAACAGATGAACTCCTGCCCGGGCCCTTCCCCTTGCTGCAGTGTCTGTCCTCAAGTTTGTGTGTGATGTCCATGCTTGCCAGTGTTCACTGATGCCTCCTCTGCTACTCTTTCTGAAGTAGCCAACCCTGCCAAGATCTTCATCTTATTAATTTGTTTATTTTCCTCACAACCCTTAGCATTAGGTTTTTTTTTTTAATTTTATCTTCATGTTTTAACTTGTCTAGTGTGCTGTCTATTCTCACCCATAATGGGAGTTTTATCTCATTTGTTGAGTCAGTTCAAAACAATTAATGAAGAACTCAGCTGCAAAATTATGAGCCTCTAGGGTAGAAAATATATCCTATTCATCTCTTTACTGTTGAAAATGCCTTGCATAGCAAATACGTGTTGGATGGTTATCAAATGAAGGAATGTTTTTAAAATAGTTGAATTCTTACCAGCTCTTAGGGTTTGTTTGCTTTTTTTATTGGTAAATGAGCCAGGACACTGTCAGTGTAGTTGGCTGTAATACACTCTTGCTTCTTGAAGCAAGCTGAAGTGGATATCTTTCTGGTTTGAACATTCCATCCTCCTACCTCCCATCCCCAATTTTGGAAAATGCTTTTGGGGGACATTTGGCAAGCATGGGAGGCATATTCAAGAAAAGTTACTTCTTCCTGGCCCACAGCTTTACCTGCATGCGACAAGGCTGTCTGAATTCCATTTGTGAATTAGGACTGTATTTGTGAGGCACAGGAGCAGTGTGCTTGAGTTGGAAGATGCCAGAGAGAAGCCTGGGTGCAAAGGGCTATTGGAAGAGGGTGCCTATACAGGTTCAGGTGCTTGTCTCCACTGGAGAAGGAATTCAAGGAAGAGATATAGTTGAAGGCCAACAGAAAAGCCAGATTTATTTACTTGCAAAGTGCACACTCAAGGCATAAGTGCAGGGTGGCGGCTTAAGAAAGAGGGCCTCAACAGAGTCACAGGCCAAGTCTTTAGACTGCCTGGAGGCATTAGGGAGTGGTTCTGGATTGGAGGTAAGTACCACCTGTTTCTATGCCCTTTTTAAAAACTTTCAGAAATATCAGGGCCTCAGGTGCATGATAGGAATGGAGTGTTGCCACCCTAATGCTAGCATGGCATTATAAAGACACAGGCTACGCCCTGTAATGGGAATTTCTAGCTAGTGCTGATTCCAAGTTGCAACATCATGGATGTGGGGGTTTCTACAGCACAGAAGAGATATTCGGGGTTGGGGGACACAGAAAGGGAGTTTGGGGCCATGCGCAGAGGTGGGGAAGGTGGGATGGTGCAGAACTGGCTGTATGGTGAGCCGGGCTGCTGCAGAAGCTGGTTGGAGCTGCTGCGCAGGTGGGCCAAGACAGTCACGGGGTTGAGCTGGGGCTGCCAGGCAGGGCTGTAGCAGGTAGGGTAGGACAGCAGGCTGTGCTGTCAAAAGCCCCAGCATCTCTTGTTACTGTGACCTCCCAGTCTAGGCCAAAGGATGAGCAGGCCAAAGAGCTTCAGTAGCTTTGATTCAAGGGAGCCATGTTTTGCTAAATGGAAAACTGCTCCTTTTGGGTCTGACAGACTGGTAATGAGCAAGTAATCTCTGGGATTTGTCACAATCACCAAACTGACAATTTCTTGTCTCTTTCTTCCTATTGAAAGGAAGCAAAGTGAAGGTTTTTTTTTTTTTTAAAGACTTGTGTATTTTCATTGAAAAGGCAGAGTTACAGAGAGAAGGAAAAACAGAGAGATCCTCCATCCACCAGTTCACTCCCCAAATGGCCACAACAGCCAGAGCTACAGCTGAAGCTGGGCTGAGGAGCCAGGAGTTTCTTCCAGGTCTCTCATGGGGGTACAGGGGCCCAAAGACTTGGGCCATCTTCTACTGTTTCCCCAGGCCACAAGCAGGGAGCTGGACTGGAAATGCAGCACCCAGGATTTGAGTCAATGCCCATTTGGGATGCTAGCAGCTGTAGGTGGAGAATTAGCCTGTTATGCCAACTCACTAACCCCACAAAATGAAGCTCTAAAGACTAAGCACCAACCACCACAGTAAGACAAAATGTGGAATTTCTGCAAAGGGCCCCAGATGGCAGGAAAAGCTCTAGGAATGGAGGAAGAACTGCTTGTGCCCTGTCCCAGCTGTGCTCAGGCTAAGGGGTAGCCCTGCTCTCTGCGGGCATGTTCTGGTGATAGGTGGTGTTTCTGTTGGTTCAGTTTGGTTCCGGGGGACTTAGAATCTGGGACTCAAAATCTGACAGTGGTGGCAGGACACATCTCTAGAAATCACAGGTAGTTCTCAGTTATCCTGAAGCAGGGTGCTTTAGGGGGGAGTTCACGTGGATTTACACCAGTCATTTTACTTTCCCTGTTTTTCCTACTGGAGCTTATGAGTTAGGACACAAGGCAGTAACAACTGGGCAAATATGGACTTGAGTCTCACATGGGCTACAGAAACTATCCAAAAAGGTAAACCAAACCAGCAGAACTAATCCTTGAGGCTTAGTTTGAACCATGAGAAAACCTTGAACTGTGACTCCTGGAGCCTGGTGTTCATGGGACTCATGAGAGAAGAATGGGGATGTGGATTGAGATTGAGACAGGAGGGTTTTATGTCCCAGAGAGACCCCTGCTGTCACCACCCCTATCCCGAAGAGCTGAGCTACTCAATGTGAACCTGCCCCAGGCTTAAAATAAGAGCATATTGTATTCTATATTTTCTCAGGGTTTCTTTCCTCCCAAGCCTTTACCTTACTCTCAAATCTATTTTTGGTATTGAAAGATATTGAGTATATATTGATCATTGTTAAGTGATGAAGCTATTATTAATATGTTTTGGAAGATTTTTCTGTCTTAGAGCTACACTAAGCTACTTAGAGGTAAAATTAAGTAATATGAGAAGTTTTCCTAACACAGTAGGGAAGGCAACAGATTAAGTGCAGCTGACCTTGATTGGATAATTGTAGTAAGAGACTGCAGGCAAAATGCTTTCCACTGTCAATACCAGAGCCTGGAACTTGCCTTCCAAGGAGAGAGCCTTCGTGGAGATGAGGCTCCAGAGCAGCCCTGAAATGGCACATACATTGAATGAAATGTTCATTAAATTCCTTTTTTTTTTCTTTTTGAAATAGATCTTCCTGCTTTTAATCATCATGTGTCTTATGCTAGCAATTGGGCATGGCATTTGGGAGAGCAGCATTGGCTACTACTTCCAGGTTTTTCTGCCATGGAAGAGCTATGTCTCTTCCTCAGCCGTCTCTTCTCTCGCTACATTCTGGTCCTACTTCATTGTTCTCAACACCATGGTGCCCATCTCCCTCTATGTCAGGTAGGCTCCTGTGACCCACTGGGTAATGGGGAAGGGGGTGCCGGAGGAGGGAGGGCGGACAGAGAAGCTGTCTTCATACGTTCTTCTTAAATTTCCTGGCTGGAGCGTCAGATTTTAGAATGCACATTGCCTATTCCACAATGCCTATTGTGCTGAACACTCTTAAATACATATAAGGTAGTTTAAATACCTTCTGTGTCCAGACTGCTAGCTTATTCATTTCCTGCCTTCAGCTGGTAGAGAAAGAAGGCAGAGAAACATGCGAACCAATTTGAGAAAATGCACACCAGTTGGGAGAAGCCTCTCATTTACCAGTAAGATGAGGGGCAAGTATTCACTCCTGGCTCACTCAGTCCCACAGAAACAATGTGACAAATGGTACAAGGATGTGATTGGGATCTGAGTTCAAGCCTTAACAGTTGGAGATGAAATGGAACCCTAACCCTAACTTTATTTTCTCCCCTCTTTCACAAGTGCCTTGGACAAACATTTGGAGTAGATGAAGTCATCTTTTACCATGTTTCAATCTGCTTTTTCTGGTCCAAGCATTGCCTTGTACACATACATCCCATGTACAATTTGGTGTCCTCCTTTCCTGGTTCCCTAGACTCTGCACTTGGAATTCCAGCCCCTAAAGTAACCTGTAACTAAAGTACCTTATTTAATAAGTGTGTGTTGAACACTTGCCTTGTGCCAACCACAGTACAAAGTGCTACGGATAGAATAATGGACAATAGGAGCTGGGCATGTGGCATGGTGGGTAAAGCTGCCTCCCGTGACACTGGCATCCCAAATGGATGCTAGTTTGAGTCCTAGTTGCTCCACTCCTGATTTAGCTCCGTGCTAATGGCCTGGGGTAAGCAACAGAAGATGGCCTAAGTTTTTGAACCTGTGCTACCTACATGGGAGATCAGGAAGAAACTCCTGGCTGCTGGCTTCAGCCTGGCTCAGCCCCAGCTATTATGGCCATCTGGGGAGTGAGCCAGCAGACAGAAGATTCTCTGTCCCTCCCTCTCTATTTAATCTTGTTTTCAAATAAATCAATCAATACAATGTTTTTGAAGAAGCATGTATAATAAGAATACCCTTTCCCTACAGAAGCATACAGTGTAGCTAAAAACACTTATACATAAATAGTTATGTTACAATATAAAAATAGCATAAGAGAAGTATATGCTTGTGTATATGTATATTTAAAGCTGTTGTAGGAACATTAAGAAGAACTGGATTATGGGGGGAATCCCAGTGCCTGCAACTGTGTCACATAATGCAATGTAATAAAAAAAAGAAGAAGAAGAACTGGATTAGTTCTTGCTGGAGACAGATGGCTTAGAGGAGAAAATAATAATTTGATATTTGAAGAGGGAAAAAGGAGTGGTATTTGTCAAAGTATGGGGAAAAATAAAACAAGCAAGAAGCTCCATGAATCAAAGAGAATGAAAGTTTTTCAAAGTTGCTATTCAGATAGCAACGAGTACATAGACTAAGGTGTGTTAGATGATAATTTAAGATCACATCCATCCAATCTTCCAATTTTAGGCCAAATAGTACGATTTTGTGCTGAAGAGGCAGCAAATGCCTCTCTGAGGCAGGAGATCTTGGGATGAGGATTCAGGTTAGAACCAGCACTGTGGTGGCTAGTGTGGTGGACAGGAAGGGAGCGTGACTCCAAGCAGGAGGGTCTTGGGGATGGCTGGTGATGAGGGCCTACACACCTCCTCCCTCACCCCACAGGTCAAGGTCCCTAAGGCTCTGGGCCACTCTCTCCCAGCCCTGGACTGCTAATAAAACTGCCAACCACATGTGCAGGATGCATGACAACGGGCAAGGGAGTCCCTAGAAGTCTTCGCTGCTTTTCATGTGAAGTTGCTTGTTAACCATGAAGAGTCAGCACAAAGTGATGTCACTGAAAGGCAAAGAAGATTGTGATCAAGGCACTGGGGAGAATTCACATAGAATGAGGAGAAGGAGGTGCCCAGAGGGAGGCTGGCTCCTTGGGGAATTTATTAAGGATTGACCCCTAACCTGTTTCTGAGTTTCACAGCTTCCTGTGTAAGGCCGGCCTGTGGGATCATTTGGTCTGGCTCTACCAAGGCGACCAATCAATCACAGTAAGGACTCAAAATTCAGTAACTCTACAGCAAGTTTGATCTTGAAGTTGATAACTTTGTATAACCTGCAAATGGTATTGTAAATACCCCAATGGCACTTGGCAGAAGCAAGCTTTAGCACCTTTGTTCTAAAACAGACACGCCAAGGATGCCAAGTGTCTCCCTCTTCCCCACATGGCAAGCAGTAATAACCCTCTGGCTAGGCCAGCATCAGCTTGTGTGGGTTAGCTGTTGTTCCATTAGACCTTGCAGGATCATGCAAGTTCCAAAATAGTGACTTTTCCTGGACACATTTTGGAAAAAAAAGGCATTACAGAAAGATTCAACTCCGACGAGTGGCTCAGGTGTATGTGCATCTAGGAGGTAAAGCCTTGTGCTCAGTGTCCTGCAAGACTGTGGAGTGGTGGGAAGGGCTTGCAGGAGAGGTCTGCAGATTGGGAAGGAGGCAACCAGCATGATACGTTGACTTGTCTTAGCCTGACCCAGGACCCTTCTCTTCTTGCTTCCTCTTTAGTGTGGAACTAATAAGACTGGGCAACAGTTACTACATCAACTGGGATCGGAAGATGTTTTATGCACCAAAGAACACACCAGCACAGGCTCGCACCACTACCCTTAATGAGGAACTTGGACAGGTTAAATATGTTTTCTCCGACAAAACGGGGACCTTGACTCAGAACATCATGATTTTCCTCAAGTGTTCTGTTAATGGGAATCTCTATGGTATGCATGGCTTCCCGCCTTCCCTGAGTCCTGGGGAATTTCATTTTTGTAGATTTTTCTCCAGGATAATCTAGCTCTAAATCTAAACACCTCTGAAAATCTGCAATTGCCTCCTGTTCTCCTGTCCTGTCTTTTCACCGAGCTAAGAACACCCAGCTCATTCAATTCTAACCAGAAAGCAATTATTTGGCACCTTCTAGATGCAATCCATTTGAGAAAACCACGATGTGCAAGTCCTAGGCTCCATTCCTCAAGTGTTCCCAATGTCTTAAGGAAAAGCAGTAACTCAGCTCACTCCTATATTGAATCAGACAAGAGCTGGTAATGGGGTACACAGCTTTGGCTAAACAGGAGAAATAAGTTCTTAATAAAAATGTATGATGTATTTCAAAATTACCAAGAGTAGATTTGAAACATCCTCACAGCAAAACCAAATATGCAAAGTGACAGATATGTTAATTAGCTTGATAATCACCCCATGATGTATACAAATGTGAAATTAGCACAATATACTTGCAGGTCTATAAAACCGCCAGTTGCAAGTAAATTAAGAAGTCAATCAGAGCAGTCAGTGTGTTACTGACATGGCTAATCTGCTCCCTCTCTAGACGAATGCATAGCTTTGAGAGAAGCCCATGGAGGGTGGGCTGATGAGGCCCAGTCCCTCACCTGTCTGCTCTCCTGTGGGTTTGATCATACTGCTCAGTGCCCTGGCAAACAGGGGACGTCGATCATGGTTGAAAGGCTAAGAGACATGGAATAGTCTGGGCTAGGGAAAAGGCTTTGATCCAGAGAGAGGTGGTAGTTGCACACTATTACGAATGTATCAAATGATTCTAAACTGTATAGTTTTAAATTGGCATTGTCTATCCTGTGAATTTCAACCTTCATTAAAAAAAAACAAAAAATTTCAAATAAGATAAAACAGTTTAATATTTCCTATGAACCTTGCCAAATAACTTTTCACATGCATAAATTCAAAAGGCTTATTTTTAGATAAATTCATTTTGAGTAGGTGGAGATCTAGATTCTCTGACTCTAAGACCTCATTGTGTACTGGGTAGGACTGCGAAGGACTAAGTATTTGTGTGCTTGGCATCAGGGCTATCTTCTGCCTACCTGGCTGTATTACCTGCCAGTGAAGAATCCTAAGCATTCTAGAAGTATCTTCACATCACTTCACATCTAGGTAACTTTTCTGATTGCAGGGCTTCCACGGGATGAAGTCTCTCAGACGCAGCAGCTAGTTGCCCTCATTTTTGAGTCCAACCTCTCCTTACGTTAGCTTAGAGAAAGGAGACCCCTCTGTATTGTGGCTTGTGAGGCCTGCTGGGATTTGAGGCAGCTTGACTACAAGTTTAGGATGAAGAATCAGAAGAAAGAAGCTTTTATAAAAACAAAGCAAAAAACTCTTTAAATTTCTCTATGACCCAGCCTAAGTAACTCTCAAAAACTAAAAGCAGAGACCCAAAAAGATATATGTGTGCCACTGTTCACTGCAGCATTATTGATGATAGACCCCAAAATGGATATAACCCCGGGGAGTGGATATACAAAATGTGTATGTACATACCGTGGATTGTTATTCAGCCAGAAAAAGTAATGCAGTTTGTTAATGCTATAGTATGGATAGACCTTGAAAATATTATGCTAAAATTAAATAAGGCAGACCCAAAGAGAATAAACATTGTTTGGTTCTGTTTATAATAAATATCTCAAATGTGCAGATTCATAAAGCAGAAAGACTGTGGTTTCCAGGGGCTTGGGAAGAATGGGCTGTTTCTATTTGGAGTGCTGAAAAACCACTGCTGGTGACTGCTGTGCAACATGGTGGATGTAAAATGGTTAGAAGGGTAGGTTTGTGACATTGGTAGATAATCGCAATAAAAATGTATTTAAAGTTCCTCCTTTAAAGCCCTTGTAAGTCAGCCCTGTTTACTTACCAACAGGTGATGTTGCTGACAAGAACGGAGAGAAGGTACCAGCCTGTGAGGTGAGTGATGGGAACTGTCAGGGAAGCACACGTGGGTGCCTAGGGGGCTGGGCTGCTGGGGAGCCTCGCCCCTGAAATACTCAGGCTTGAACAACCCCCATAATACCAGAAATGACATATATCTACTTGAAGGATTTCAAATTTTTTTTAGGTGAAAATCTTTCATTCACTTTTTGTTCCTCTTTAAAAAATGTTCCTTGTCAAAAGAGAATTCAGCATAGAAATTGTAAAGAATAAAGTTAAAATTATTCCATCCCATTAGATAAGCAGCATCAAATGTAGGAGTTTATCCTTTCAGATGGGTCTCAGTGTGTGGATGCAGGGCTAAATGTGCACATCTCAATCCAGATGAAAGAGCGGGACACGGAAACACAAACCATGCCTGCCTCGTTCACTTAGCTCCACGTCGTGGTCATCTTCCCATGTCAGTAGATCTAGGTCTACAGCATCATTTGAAGGGGGTGTCATTTCCAATTCTTCTTGCAGTGCTATACCTTCATGTATATAACCAACCCCCTACTTTAAGTTCTTTTCCTTTTCTTTTGTTATTACAAATACCATTTCAGTCAACATCCTGGTACATAGATTGTTGTCTGCTTTTCTGATCATTATTCCCTTAAAGCCCCCAAACAAGAAAGGTCATTCACAGGGTAGCCACAGGAGCGGACATTGTGGTACAACAGGCTAAGCCAGCACCTTTGACTCCAGTATCCTACTATAGACTGCTCCACTTTGGATCCAACTCCCTGCTAATGTGCCTGGGAAAACAGTAGGAGATGACCCAAGTGCCTGGGCCCTGTGCCCACGTGTGAGATCTAGATGAAGAACCTGAGTCCTGGCTTCCACTTGGCCCAAACCCATCCATTGCAGCCATTTGGGGAATGAACCAGTAGGTGCAAGATCTCTCTCTCTCGAGTTTCTTACCCCATCTTGTTATCCTCACTATCGCCTGATCATAAAACAGTTTGTATTAAATCACTGGAATCCTCATTCTCCTAATAACAAACTACCTATAGCCTCCATCCTTTCATTTGGGAAAAAAAAAAAAAAGCTCTCTTCTCCCTGCCTTAATTGAAATACATATGGCTTTCTTAATCCCATCAATAGTTATAAACTGGACCTGACACAATAGTCCAGTGGCTAAAATCCTTGCCTTGCATGTGCCTGGAATCCCATATCAGTGCTGGTTCATATTCTGGCTGTTCAGCTTCCCATCCAGCTCCCTCCTTGTGGTCTGGGAAAGAAGTTGAGGACAACCCAAAGTCTTGGGACCTGGAGGAGGCTCCTGGCTCCTGGCTTCGGATCAGCTCAGCTCTGGTCATTGTGGCCACCTGGGGAGTGAATCAGCAGATAGAAGATCTTTCTGTCTCTCCTTCTCTCTGTGAATCTGACTTTCCAATAAAAACAAAGAAATCTTTATTTTAAAAAATAGTTACAAACCCTCAGCTCTTTTTCCTCTGGTCTATCCATCCCTTGTGACTTCTTTTTCTGTCTTACCCAGCTGTGTGCCAGGATCATGAGCTACCTAAGTACCTTGTCAGTCCTCCTTTGTCCATTCTTCAATCACTCAACAAATCTCAACCTTTAATTAATCAAACTAGCTACCTTGCTTCATGTCTAATCTCAGAGCACCAAGCACTACCTTGGCAATTGGGAAAACTCCGCAAGTTGGCAGATTCCCTCCCCTCCTGGGCTTCACTGCCACTCGGCCAACTTTTCACCTGTTGGTAATCAGCTTCATGTTTATCCTTCATACTAGCTCTTCCAATAGCCACCACTTTGGAGCCTTCTACCACATTCTGCTGACTCCCTGGGATGCAACAGATGGTAAACCCCTTTATTTTACTGAGAAATGTCTAAGCTAGCAGCTAAATATGTGTATCTCCACACATATTGGAACCTATTTTTGCTTCCTTTCCTTCAGTCTCAAAGAAGATATCACTTTTTTTCTTTTAATATCTATGGCTTTATATGTTCTAGAATCTATTGCATCCTACTTCTTCAGGAACCTCAGAAAGTCGTGCAGTGTCTCCTTACTAATATCTGAAATATATTCCTTGATCTGTTTCTTTCTCCCCAGCAACAAATCTTTCTTTAAACACTGCTTAGTTGGGGCCATCATGATGGAGTATCAGATATTCCTCTGCATGCTGTGCTGGTGTCCCATACGGCTGGTTTGAGTCCCAGCTACTCCACTTCTGATCCAGCTCCCTGCTTATGAACTGGGAAAGCAGCAGAGGATGGCTTGAGTCCTCTGGGCCCTTTGCACCAACTTCAGAGTCCTGGAAGAAGTTCCTGGCTCCTGGTTTTGGATCAACTCAGCTCCAGCCATTGTGGCTTTTTAGGGAATGAACCAGTGGATAGAAGATCGATATCTCTCTCTCTCTCTCTGTCTCCCTCTCTCTCTGTAAGTTCATCTTTCCAATAAAAATAAATAAATCTTAAAACCATCAACAATAAAAATCACTTAGTAGTTCATGCAATTGGGATATTATCCAGCAATAAGAAGTGAACTATAAGGGCACATATATGCAAAAAAAAAAAAAAAGTCGTGGAGAAAATTTAAATGAATGTTTCTAAGGGAACTGTAAGGTGGACCTACATGTGCTTTCTGCTTAATTTTTAGGTAAATTGTTTAAGAAGTAGAATATTCATTTTGAATAACAATTTAAAAGCTGTAGCCAATTAACCAAAAGTGACCTCTAGTGGTAAATTTTTTAAAAAATTTTTCTTTATATTTTTGAAAAACACAGAACCTCTTCCTTGCTCCTACCATTTCCTCTAGCTATTATCTGTCTTCATCAGTGAATTCAAAATATTTCTGGAGTGTCTAGCATATGTCAGAATGTGAATAAGTGCTAAAAGCTCAAGGAAAACAAGACTACTTTGTCCCTGCATTGGCAGACTGATGAGGAGCCGAAGAAGTAAACAGGGGATTCCGGAAACCTGGAATTCCTCACCTTATCTTCAGTTTTTTCTTTGCTCTATGTAATCAGACTAAATGTTTTATCATGTTCCCTGTGACTATCCTAACCAAGACCATTGGTGACTACCTTGCTGAGCCTTGGCCCAACGCCTGCAGAGTTTAACACCCTTCGGCTTCACCTTTCTTGAGGTTCTTGTGTCCCTTGCCTTCTATTACATCATGACTCTCTTCTTACATTGCCCTCCCTGTCTAGTCACTTTTTCTGATCTCCTTGCCTTGGGTACGGATGTTCTCCAGGCTCTGTTCACAAACCTCTGCTCTACCTGCATAGTTTCCACACGCACCATCATGGTTTAGCATGCTGTCAGCTGCTGATTACCTCCAATATTCTAGGAATCCTTGCCAGCTTCCTTCTGTGCATGGCTATCACTGCAACTCAGAGCTTCCTCACGTGCAGCCTGTTTCCCTCCATTCTCAATCTACTTCCTCTCATCTGACATTCCCTGTTTTTCATCATTTTATCTAGTATTGGATTTGTCATTTGGCTTTGTTTAATGGGTTATTTGGCTTTCAATTTTAGAGTTACTCCTGAATGCTGCCTCTCAGATCAATCATGCTGCATGGCAGCTCCAAGCCAGTTCTGCCTCTTACCTGTCTGGAGGGAGAGAGCAACAGCTGGCTCTAGAGCAGACATTATACTGTAGTGACGACGAAAGGGGGAAATCAGTGGGGTTGAGGAGGGGGAGGTCCCAGAGCCATTGAACTGTATCATAAAACAAATGAATTAATTTTCAAAACTACTAAATTAAGGAAATGATTTTGAGCATTTTGGGTATGAAGAGTGAAGGAGAGGAAGAATTCAGAATAGTTTTCTATTTCTCAATTGTGGATCCCCAGATGGTCCAACTGGTCTTCCTGCTTCTCATCTTGCTAGTTCAGCATGTTCTCCATGCTGCTGCTGGAGACATCCTCAGGCACAAAGGTGCTGGTCTCTCCTCGAGTAGAAAACCACAGTAACATCTGTGAGCAGCAAGGTAATGCAGGGTCTCTTACCTCTCTCAGCTTATCTCTCACACTCACCAGCCTCTGTTTTCTTAAATATTTATTTATTTTTATTGGAAAGTCAGATTTACAGAGTGAAGGAGAAACAGAGAAGGATCTCCCATCCAGTGGTTCACTCCCCGAGTAGCTGCAACATCTGGAATTGAGCCGATCTGAAGCCAGGAGCCAGGAGCCTCCTCTGGGTTTCCCACATGGGTGCAGGGTTCCAAGACTCTGGGCTGTACTCTATTGTTTTCCCTGCCCACAGACAGAGAGCTGGAAGGGAAATGGAACAGCCAGGATATGAACTGGTACCTATATGGGATCCTGGGAGAGCAAGGCAAGAACTTCAGCCACTAGGCTACTGTGCCAGGCCCAAGCCTCAGTTTGTAAAAAAAAATTATATATATATATATATTTGCATATATATCTATAGGTTATTTGAAAAGCAGAGTTATATAAAGACAGAAAAGGAGATGGAACTATATCTATTTAATTGCATACATTGGTTCAAATGGCTGCAAAGAGCCAGAACTAGGTCAGACCAAAGAAAAAACCCAGGAGCTTTCTCTGGATCTCCCTCATGGGTACGGAGCCCATATGCTTTGGGCCATGTTCCACTTTCCCAGGTGTATTAGTGGGGAGTTGGATTGGAAGTACAGCACCCAGGTCTTAAAGAGGTGCCTATTTAGGATACTGGCACTGCAGATAGGAGCTTAACTTGCTACACCACAGTGCCAGCCCTGACTCACCAGCCTCTAGTTTCAAAGAACATGCTAGGATGAGTCCAATTCTAGAAAAACTTCAGGAAATACTATATAAGGCATAATGATACATTATTAAAATGATGAACTGTGTTCGTTAGTCTATGTTTTACCAGGTCAAGGACTTGTCTGACCACACTTCCTTTGATAAATATCCTTTGTGTGAGATACAGAAAAGGACCGGTGCAATTCAGTACAAACTGCCCTTTCCCTGAGGTAGAACCAAGCAGGAAAGTTATGTCTGAACTTCACAGGCTGGGGCTCAGACCAGGAAACATCTACAGAAAACAGTGGGGAAAGATGGTTACAAGTACTGCTAAAGGTTGCACAAACATGTTAATAACATTACACTCCAGGACCAACCAGAAAAACCTGTGTCTTCCCAAGGCGGCCACCTACAGCTCCACTGAAAGGGCTCACTGAAAGGGTTCCTCAGAGTCACTGTCTAGAAAGGAGCCAGAGTCACAGCCATGGAAACTGTTAGTGGATAGCAGGTCCAAAGAGGGAGGAGAGGACTAAGGTAGGAACACCTACAGAAAATATTCATGAGTAGTAGAGGCAGGCAAATGAAGCAAAATTAACTCTGTGGACAGCATGCATGTACTGAGGCTTTCTTGTCATGTGGCCTGCCCCTATTTTGCAGTATTCCTCACCAGTTCCCCTTTGAACACTGATGCAGCTAAACAGGAATAGTGAAACACGGTGGTCCCACCATTCCTGGGACTCTGTTCTCTTGTTCCCTTGTCCACTCCAAAAATCAGAGGACCACCATAAGGAAGACCTTCCAGACACTATTGCCTAACAGGGAACAGTTGTCCCCTCAAAGCCCATGGTGTTGGGACTGGGAATGGTAGAGTTTGGAGATGACCATTAATCATTCAGGATAGTTGGGCTGAAGAAGGGCCTGGGATCAGCATGGCCCCAGTGAATGGACGATCCCAGTCAGGGCTGCGATGGCTTTAGAAACGAGCTTAGCTTGCTTCTCCCTTCTCATCCTGTTCGGTGTTCCCATCACATTCCAGAAATGGTCCTTCAAAGTGATCACCTATAAAGTGCCGAGCTGCTGCTGAGACATGTGTTCTGAATTTTCTGTTCACAGAGAAACAAGGTTGACTTCACCTACAATAAATTGGCTGATCCTAAGTTTTCGTTTTATGACAAGACTTTGGTAGATGCTGTGAAAAAGGGAGATCACTGGGTATGCTTGTTTTTCCTGTCACTGTCATTGTGTCACACGGTGATGTCCGAAGAGAAAGTAGAAGGTGAGGAGGGAGCTCAGGCCTCATGAACTGGGAATGTGTGGCAGAGTCTGGGTGGGTTGCGAATGGATGTATTTGTTAGGATTGGTAATGGCCGAATATTCAACAGCTGATGGACGGTGAGGATAAGCAGTGAGATTGCAGTCACTGCAGATGCTCTCAAGCAGAAAACAGCTCTCACCTTAAATGCAGATCCAGTCATTGGTCCAATGTGGTGCTCCGGCAAAAGCTCCTGATCTTGAGATTCTGTGATGTGCTGTCAGAGTCCATTGAAACTGTCCCTGAGATCAGGCCCACTCTCTGACAAGACTTCATGAAGGAAGCGTTGAGTAGTCCTCTTGGCACTTCACTATTTAAAGGTGCCTCCACACACACATCCTGGTTTCTTTAGTAACCTTAAGAAAATGTGGCATTTAAGAGTGTGAAAATCTGCAGAGAAGTTGTGCCATCCATCAAGTCACCAAATCTTTTTTAAAAATAAGGACTGAGGAGCAGCTGGTTATCAGCTTAACAGGTTTCTTTTTTTCCTTAACAAGCAGTTTAGGCAGCTAAGTGAATCCTTTGAAGTCAATGTATTCTTCAATATATTTTCACCAATGTTCATACTTTATGTGTACTTAAATATCACTTTATGGTTTTATACATTTTACTCCCATTTATTTTATCTCCTCCAATCTACACAACAGTCAGGCGAAACCAGAAAAATGACCACTATTTTATAGAGAAAGAAACCAAAGAAAAAAGAGAGTGAGTTCTTTGCCAAAAATCCTATAATCAAGAAGGCCATGGGAAATAGTGCTTCTTCTGACTTTGCCTTCTCCAGTTCCCATAAGATCCAGCCCAGCCAGTGGCCAGCCATTCCAACAAACTGTTATTATTGGAAGCATAATTGGCATCTGTGTTTACACACAAAAATTGGCCTTAATTGCCCAGCAGACACAGTATATCCAACTTAAAGTTACACTCCTCACCTACCTCACTCACAAGAATCTTATTGATACCTATTTTAAAAATCTTTTTTTAAAAAGATTTATTTTGGGCCCGGCGCGGTGGCGCAAGTGGTTAAAGGTCCTCGCCTTGCACGCCCAGGATCCCATATGGGCGCTGGTTCTATCCCGGCAGCCCCGCTTCCCTTCCAGCTCCCTGCCTGTGGCCCGGAAAAGCAGTCAAGGACGGCCCAAAGCTTTGGGAACCTGCACCCACATGGGAGACCCGGAAGAGGCTCCTGGCTTCGGAATGGCATAGTATCGGCCCATTGCGCTCACTTGGGGAGTGAATCATTGGATGGAAGATCTTCCTCTCTGTCTCTCCTCTCTGTATATCCGCCTTTCCAATAAAAAAATAATAAGATTTATTTTTATAAATAAAATAAAAATAAAAGATTTATTTTTATTATTTTATGATTCACTCCCCAAGTGAGCGCAATGGGCCGATACTATGCCGATCCGAAGCCAGGAGCCTCTTCCGGGTCTCCCATGTGGGTGCAGGTTCCCAAAGCTTTGGGCCGTCCTCGACTGCTTTCCCGGGCCACAGGCAGGGAGCTGGAAGGGAAGCGGGGCTGCCGGGATAGAACCGGCTCCCATATGGGATCCTGGGCGTGCAAGGCGAGGACCTTTAACCACTTGCGCCACCGCGCCGGGCCCTTAAAAATCAAATTGCAAATATGTATGTATCCATTGCCAATACTCAAGGAAAAATAAGATGCCAAATGAGGCCACACAGACTGGCATTGATTAAAATACCACTAAGTAGTTACATGTTCTTGCCTTTACCATGTTTGTGCCAAAACTGTGTAGTCCAGACATGTATGATTTTAAGCAACATGATAACATTTCTTTCATGTGATAATGAAGCCAGTTGTTTCTTGTGCTAGGGGTGGGTCAACAATCTATGACCCATTGTCTGGTTGTATAAAACCTAAAAATAGTTTTTGTTTTCTTTGAGCATTTGGGGGGAAAAGTTTAAATAGTTTTATGTAACATAAAAATTATATGAAATTCATATTTCAGCATCCAAAAAGTCTTATTGGAGCACTGTAAAAAAATCATTTTGACTTTCCGAAGGTCAAAAATATACCACAGGATGTGATAGTATTCTAACATAAGAGATCTGGAAACATCTTGAGTAATATCAAATAGAAAGGTTAATTCCACAGAGTGAATCATTTAGCTTCCCTGTTTAGTCTCATGGGTGATAACATTAATTCACACACATATTTTTAGTAGTTTGCTTAACTATCAAGCTGATCAACTTAAAGCAGTGTTTATCAAAATGTGGCCAGCTCTATGTAGGAGCATCTTACTCTATGTTCATGAGAATTACCCAGGAGATATGTTAGAAATTCAGTTTCCTACCAGATTTTGTAGTTCTGGATTCAAACAAGTTTGTTTGGGGCCCAGAAGCCTGGATTTTTAGCCAGATCCCTGAACCATCTCTACCTACTGAAATTGTGGAGTAGCTGCCCTTGTCTTGTTTGTTTGTATACATTGCCTGTACCCTATGTTTTTGCAATACTAACCCAGGTCGGTGGAATGAGTTGAAAATATTCAAAAGGAAAAGTGACATGCAAGTTCTATGCAATGTAGATTTTTAGTGGCAAACTTGTGGGCAAGTTCTGAAGACAGAGGTCCTCTTCTGGGCTCCATTATGTCGGCAGTGTCACTTCTGAGTGGATGGCAGAGCTCACCCATGCGGGCTCTGATGGCTCTCTTCTCTCTGGCAGGTGAGCTTGTATACCAGGCTCAGTCCCCGGACGAAGGTGCCTTGGTCACGGCTGCCAGAAACTTTGGCTTTGTGTTCCGTTCCCGCACATCAGAGACGATTACAGTGGTGGAAATGGGGAAGACGCAAATCTACCAGCTGCTGGCAATCTTGGACTTCAACAATGTACGCAAGAGGATGTCTGTCATTGGTAGGTAGCCCCTACCTGACCCACACTCCTTCGCTGAGCTTCACACGTGTTCACACATGGGTTTTCTCTCTCACAACATTCCTCCCCACAGATACTGTGCCTCAAAAATTCACACAGAGTCATTTCCACCTTCTCTCACTTTCCCTTATACACACACTTAAGGGGCTGGCTGCCAAACACGGAGGCTCTTCTCTGGTGTTCCTGGGTGATGTTTTGGCAGTGCTCTCAAAGCCAAGGTGGGGACAGAGAATAAACTCATGAAGCCTGAACATCGAGGGAGGGGAGCAGATCATATCAATGGCCCTCATTGCTGCAGCTTCCACATAAGAGAGTCAGTCAAATGTGGGTTGAAAATATTTGGGAAGAAAAGTTGCATCTGTAGTGAACATAACATATTTTCCTTCTTGCTCCCTAAATAATACAAGTTGGTGGCTATCTACCTAGCACTTACACTGTTAGGTATCATCAGTAAAATAGAACAGATCCAAAGTATACAGCAGGGAATACAACAAACACAATGCCATGGTTTTTTCGAGGGGGTTGTTTTATATTTTATTTATTTATCATTATTATTTTCTATGATACAGTTTTGTAGATATAGAGATTTTCCCACCTCTTCATCCCTCTCCATTTTTTCCTCACACAATTTCCCCTGTATTATCACAGAAGTTTAGTCCTTTAGTAATAGTAACAAGTTGAACATTCTGTGTATCACAGCATTGGAGGTATAGGCAAAGGTAGAAAATCTAGAATCATATTGTAAAGGTATATTCGACTATTTCATTAGGGATCCTCCTTCTATTTGGGAGTAGAGATGCATACTGCAGCATATCTTCACTTCCCGGTATACTAGTCTCCATTATATGGTTCATCAATGAGATTATAAATATCTACTTATTTACCTATATATCTATTGATTTTGTCTTTTGCATAAAGGTTGCCTTATATCAGAGAGAAAAAATGATAATTGTCCTTTTGGGATTGGCATATTTCGCTGAACATAATGGTCTCTGGTTGAGACCATTTTTTTATCCATTTTTTTTATAGGCATCTAGATTGTTTCCACATCTTTGCTATTGTGGGTTGCTCTGCTACAAATATAGGGTTGTAGGTTGCTTCTTGTATGCAGATTTCACTTCAGGATGCTCAAGTCCCTTAAACGATACCATGTTGTTTAAGGGACTTGGGTATCTGCAGGTTTTCATACCTGTGGGATTCCTGGAATCAACCAATTTCCCTACAGATACCAGGGGAAATTGTCTAAGGGAAAACCATCCCATCTTGTTCTTGCTAGTAGTTTGGGGCCTCAGACTGAGAATGTCTTTCAGCCTTGGGCCTTATTAGATGAGGGTGCTGGTCTGGGCTCGGAACTGAGAGTTTCTGTGTGATTGTGTCTCAGAGTCTTCCACGGATAGTAACAAACACATTCACTGTCCCCAGCCATCACCACATTATCGATCATCTCCATGCTTAGCCTCCAAAGGTATCACAAATGTCATAGGCAACACAGCCTGCTGCTGTCCCTCGGCCACCCAGACCATAGGTCCCCACGGTCACGATGCCCAATCTACTTGTTTCAGTGCGGACACCTGACGATCGGGTCCTGCTGTTCTGCAAGGGTGCTGACACCATCATCTGTGAGCTGCTTCACTCATCCTGTGCTTCCCTTTGTAACACGACCATGGAGCATTTAGACGTGAGTAGGTCACAGGGGTAGGGAGGCTCTCAATGGGATCTCTGTCTGCAGATACAAGTCCATAGTTGTGTCCCTATGGTTGTGTGATTTTGAATTGGAGTACACTAGTATCTGCGTCTCTTATCTGTGGAGTGTATTGCCAACTTCTGTCTCAGTGAGCTGGATGGGGCCAGAACCCAGAGGCATCAGCAACTGTGTCTGTGGGAGCAACTGCAGAGTCAGAATCCTTCCTGGCTCAGAGGGTACTGAGGTCAGGGTTGTCTGCAGCCACGGGGAGGCCCTCTCCCAGCGGCCTCCATGGGAACGCACTTCCTTTAGGGTAGAGAGCAGCAAGCCCCAGGTCTGAGCAAGTTAGGGAGCTGTTGGGTAGCTCCCTCCATTGTCCACAGGATTGGAATCCCCAAAGACGCCACCCCACTGTCCCCCTCTTGGATTCCAGATCATTGAGAAAGAAAAAGTGACTAAGCCTACTGACCTAAGGAGGGAAAAAAGCAGATTTGCACTCTGGGGCTTCTACTCCTATAGCCGGACATAGAAAGGGTTGTGGGAATAAGGAGTAAATGAAAAGATGGAGAGGGTTAGATGAACATTTTTATATTCATTGTTATGTTTAAATAAATAGATTAGCTTGACTCTATGTTACTACCTAACCAGAAGTCACAGAACAAATAGCCAGTATGCATATGAAAAGATGCTCAGCATCATTTTAATCATCAGAAAAATGTAAATCAAAATTTTGGGATATCATTTTATACTGACCTAGAATGGCTAATGTAAAAAAAGATGATCTGACAGCAGTGAGTGTCAACAAGGATGTAGAGAAATTATAACCCTCATACACTGTTTTTAGGAAGGTAAGACAGTACAGGCTCTTCTGGAAAAGGGTCTGACATTTCCCCAAAAGGTCAAGTATAAGGTTATCACACAAACTTTCCTTTCTACCCTGAGGTGTGTGTCTAAACAAATGATACTCTACACCCACACAAAGACTTGTACAGGAATGTTCCTGGCAGCCTTATCATAACGATTGCAAAATTTGAAACAACCCACTTGTTGAATGAATGGATAAATGAAATGTTGTAGGTCTGTATAATGCCATATTATTTGTCAATAAAAGAGGAAAGAAATACTAATAAGTGCCGCCTTGGAGACATCATACTAAATGAATATGAGTTAGGTCTTGTTAAAAAGGCAGGAAATGCCCCCACATCAGACAGCTGTTAGATCTCACATGGATTCCCAGAGGTCACAGAATTTCTTATGGATCTTATCTGTCCATCTTCCAGAGCCGATGACTTAGGGTATCTTTTCAGAGAGCATTTCCACAGACTGGATGGAAGGGAGGGATAGGATGAGTCTGATGACATACTTCGCGCTAGTAAACACTTTCAGTGGAGGCTCGCTGTCCTGCAATCTGTAACCCATTAATGACAAGCATAAGAGTCCAACCCAACCACTCAGTCCCGCGGAAGCACAGCTGCAAGCCCCTTAAGACTCTCCTCGGCAAACAGGTCCCACAGAAGCAGGTGGTAGGTAGGATTCAGGCTCAGGTCCTGGCTTGCCCATCCTCAGATCTAAGAGAAAACACACACACACACACACACACACACACACACACACACACACACACACACACACACACACACACAATATGCCACTAACTGGCTGAGTGGGCTAACGAATCTGTCATTGTGTTGTGGGGCATCTCAAGCCCGCGTACCTGTGGCCCTGCATAATCGCAGCTTCTGGCTCCCAATGGGACTGTGTAAACTGACACTGGAATGTGACAGCAGCATCTCACTGCACCAAGCTAATAAACTTACAATGCAGTATGTGTTACTTTTCTGAGACAAACCAAAGGTAGATTTCTCAAGGGTTTTGTTGTCTTCTTCTGCAGCATTTGATGGAAGGACTTTTAAGTGTTTGTGGCAGATAAAAATAGACCAAGCTGTGAATCCTTTTTAAAAAATATCTGAAACCATAAACCAAGTTTTCAGTTAAAATTATAAGATAAATTTCAGGTGTCAAAGCGAATACGAGTATATTTCTGTAAGCATTGTTACTTTGAAGTAAAATTTAAAAAAACTTTAAAAATAGAAACAGTTACTGCCACTATTAATTCTTTTTTTATTGTTTTATAACAGTTTGATAGGCACTAGGTTTTCCCCTCCCCCTCTCTAAGTCCCCTCCCTTCCCCTCTGTCCTCCCCTCCAGTCTCACAATGGGTATCTTTCGTGAATTTTCACAAGTCCATCATGCTGCCACTGATTCTTGAGAAGTCTCCTGAGATCACCAGGGCTTTCAGAGCTGTCACTAGTACACAGGCATAAGAGAGGGCTTTTCTTACACAGAGGCCTTGGGATCATTGCACCAGACAGCTACATCAAACACACAGGAGTCACATGGAAAACCAGGAGCGGATTCCATCCCTCTCTGCTCTAACCCACCTCAGGTGGCTGGGAATACCTCCTAGGCCACCCATCCTGACACCCAGCTCTGTGTAGGGCCAAACATACACTCTGGCAGCATGGCTTTGGTTAGTGGCCAAGGAGCAGAAAGATGCTAAGTCTCCCAGAAAGCCGTTGCGCCTCAGCCTCAGTAACACAAATGGCTCTGGGTAATCGACTGAGCTGACGAGTGTCAAGTGGGCACCCAAGGATGTGATTTGGAAATGGCCATTGAGTATTTGGAAGAGAGAAGAAGGGAGTAGAAGAAAATTGATGTATGCTGGTTTAAAAAATACTAACACTTTTGATTATTTGTACAGCAATATTTTTGTTAGTTTTCCCTGTATCACTGTATCACACTGTTCTCTCTTTAGAGGGTGAATTATTATCCCAATTTTATAGGAAAAGAACCTAAAGGGTTTGGTTTTTCACTCTCCCAAAGCAAATTATCCATAACTAACTATAGGCTGTAGCTAAAAATAAAGCCTTCCATCTCTCAGAAGTATTCCTAAGCTTTTAATCTATGCCGGTTCCACCCTTGGACTATTTCCCTGAGAAAGCTCTATGGCTGTTCTCTTCTTCCTCTGGGAACTCGCCCCCTTGCGTTCAGGCAGACGGTCACCTGCACGCTCAGGCTGCTCCCTTACCCCAGCCTTCTCGCTGCCCAGGCCCACTTGGAACACATTTCTGTCTTTCAGGATTTTGCCAGTGAAGGCCTCCGCACACTAATGGTGGCCTACCGAGAACTGGACAACACGTTCTTCCAGACCTGGAGCATGAAGCATACTGAAGCTTCTATGTCTTTGAATAATCGAGAAAAAAAATTGTCAATTCTCTATGAAGAGATTGAAAAAGACTTATTGGTGAGTATCAGGAGACAGGGACAGGGTAGTGTTAAGAGCAACTTTCGGGGCCTTCGGTAGCCTAATGGTTAAAGTGGCATGCACTGGAATCCCATATGGGCACCAGTTCTAATCCCAGCAGCTCTGCTTCCTATGCATCTCCCTGCTTCTGACCTGGGAAAGCAGTTGAGGACGACCCAAAGCCTTGGGACCCTGCGCCCATGTGGGAGATCCAGAAGAAGCTCCTGGCTCCTGACTTCGGGTTGGCTCAGCTTTGGCCGTTGTGGCCACTTGGGGAGTGAGCCATCTAATGGAAGGTCTTCCTGTCTGTTTCCCTTCTCCTCTGTATATCTGACTTTCCAATAAAAATAAATCTTAGAAGGAAAAAAAAAAAAGAGTGGCATTCAGAGGCGCAGCATATACAGGACTGGCAGGAAGCTCTGGAGCTTGCAGCCAGGAAGGTTAGGTCCTGGTTCTGTACAGCCTGGATCCTCTGAATCTGAAATGAAATCTGCTGTAGTTTTTCTGTTAGTGTTGCTTATCCTTAAGCTGCTCTCAGAAGCTAGGTCATGTGGGAGAGAAATCAGGATCTGAATAATCCCTGGATTAGACCATCCAGAATGAACTAATGGAATATTTGAGACAAAAAAAAAATAGTAAAGTCACTCATTCCTTCATTCCTTCAATGTATTTATGAAATGCCTCCTGTGTGCCAGGCACTGTGCACATAGCAGGCGACAGGCAAAAAATAACACATACATTATATCAGATGGTGAAAATGTTACGGGGAAAAATAAAGTCAGGAAGAAAAGGAGTGTCTGCAATCCTCTGTGTTTTGGAGATGGATGGAAGAGGAAGCATTGTTGCTATTTATTTTTGAGACTTATTTTGTTGACTTATAAGGCAAAATGAGAGAGAGAGAGAGAAAGAGAGAGAGAGAGAGAGAGAGAGAGAGAAAGCATCTATCTGCTAATTTAATTCCCCGAATGCCCATAGCAGCCTCTAGGCCAGGCTGAAGCCAGGAGCCAGGAACTCCATCCGAGTCAGTCTTCCACGGCCCCTCCAGTCTATTAGCAGGGAGCTGGATCAGAAGCAGAGAAGCCAGGTCTTAAACCGGTGCTCTCAGATTGAAAAGCAGGCAGTAGCTTAGCCTCCTGCACCACAACACGGGCTCCTTGCTGCTCCCTTTAAATAAGTCTTCAATTAAAGTAGGCTTGAACAATGTGGCAAGTCATGCAGACCACTGAAGGACTAGCTCTTCAGACAGAAGTACAGGCAAGGGAAAAAGGAGCAGGCCTGACTCGTTAGCTGCACAGCAAGGCAGCCAATGTGGCTGGAGCAGTGTGAGTGAGGAAGAAAGAACAGGGGGACATGAGACAAAGAGACGTCTACTGGCCTATTCCCGATAGAAGACATGGTGGTAGACCAGGATTCTTTTAATCCCTCGCAGGGGCTCAGAGGGTACAATGAGGAATCCACAAGCCCTTGTAGGGTTGCAGGACAAGCTAGAGTGGATATAGGGGTACCTTGTCTAGAATCCACCATTTTGGGGGCCAGAAAAGGAGAAGCAAGGTGTGTTTAAAAAGAAAGCAGGGTCCAGTGCAGTAGCCTAGTGGCTAAAGTCCTCACCTTGCGTGCCAGTTTCTCATATTGGTGCGGATTCATGTCCCAGCAGTCCTGCTTCTGATCCAGTTCCCTGCTTGTGGCCTGGGAAAGCTGTAGGGCCTAGCAGCAAAAGTCCTCACCTTGCAAGTGCTGGGATCCTATATAGACACTGGTTCTAATCCCAGCAGCCCCACTTCCCATCCAGCTCCCTACTTGTGGCCTGGGAAAGCAGTTGAGGACAGCCCAAAGCCTTGGAACCCTGCACCCATGTGGGAGATCCAGAAGAAGCTCCTGGCTGCTGGCTTCAGATCAGCTCAGCTCTAACCGTTGTGGTCACTTGGGTACTGAATCATCCAATGGAAGTTCTTCCTCTCTGTGTATCTGATTTTCCAATAAAAATAAGCAAATCTTTAAAAAGAAAGAAGAAAAAGAAAGAAAAGAAAGAAAAGGAAGGAAGGAAGAAAGAAAGGAAGGAAGAAAAGAAAGAAAGAAAGAAAGAAACAAACAAACAAACAAACAGGGCCTGGCGCAATAGCCTAGTGACTAAAGTCCTTACCTTGCATGTGCCAGGATCCCATATGGGTGCCAGTTCGTATCCCAGCTGCTCCACTTCCCATTCAGCTCCCTGCTTGTGGCCTGGGAAAGCAGTTGAGGATGGCCCAAAGCCTTGAGACCTTGCGCCTCCCAGAGGAGGCTCCTGGCTCCTGACTTTGGATCAACTCGGTTCTGGCCATTGGGGCTGCTTGGGGAGTGAATCAGCAGACGAAAGATCTTCCTCTCTGTCTCTCTTCCTCGCTGTATATCTGACTTTCCAATAAAAAAAGAAGAAGAAGAAGAAGAAAGCAAACAAATTAAAAAAAACAGATGGTTTAGAAGCAGCGCATAGCTTTGTATATGACTTGGGCCAGAATCTTGTCCCTTTGGTCCCTACTACACTGTACTTCTATGTTTGGTTTCCATGTGTAGTTGAAAAGCTGTGTGTGTGTGTGTGCGGTGTGTGTGTGGTGTGTCTGTTGTGTATGTGTATGTGGTATGTGTGCATGTATAGTGTGTGTGGTGGTGCTGTTGTGTGTGTTGTGTGTGTATGTGTGTGGTGTGTATCTGTTGTGTATGTGTGTGTATGGATGTGTCTCATGTGTCTGTTGTGTGTGTGTGTGTGTTGTGAATGTGGTGTGTGTATAGTGTGTGTCTGGTGTGGTGTGTGTGTGTGTGCATGTGCACATGCATGCCGAGGCAGGGTGTGGAGTATGACGGCACTGGGCTCTCCAGTCCAGGACAGGGCTGGCTTACCCAGGAGCAGGCTGAGGTCCCAGCTCAGCAACTGGGTAACGATAAATGCTGTGCTTCTCTGCCCTGTTGCTGATCTCTCTGTCTGAAGTTGTTAGGGGCCACAGCCATTGAAGACAAGCTGCAGGACGGAGTCCCTGAGACAATCTTCACCCTGAGCAAGGCTGGAATTAAGATATGGGTTTTAACTGGAGATAAGCAAGGTAAAGGGGAGCGCCCAGCCTGCCTGACCCTTTCCCTGCTCTGTTCCCTGGCTCTTTCCTGCTCCATTTCCCTGTTTTCATAAAGTGACTTTCATGATACGTAACTTGTAACTCTAATGCAGTCCACCTAGAATACCTTCACTTCTGGTCTGGAATACAGTGTGCTGAGCGTACACTTCATGCCAGATGCTGCCCCAGTCGGCTGAAGACATGGAGACCAATCTCTCTGACATGACCTGTGCTGTCCACCAGCACAGGAGCCATCAACCTCCCCTGTCATCGAGAAAACGCCCTTTCTCGCCAATTCCACTAATGGATCTGACAACCTCCTGCCGTACTTCAGCTGTACATCAGGGAAAATATGAACTCACCTCTCTGTCTCTTCCTATGTTAAACTTCATCATAACCTAGATGTAACCAAAATCTCACTCTTTCTCAAACATACTGATATTATGATGTCACTCCCCTGCAAAGACCTTGGATGGGACTGTAAACTTCATCTTCTCATCAAACCAACTCTTTAGGGGCTTCTGTTAGGGCTGCATGTGGACTTCAGATGCCTTTTCCTTCCCCATTAACATTCAATTCATATCTTCAGGCCCTTTTCCAAGGAAGTTTTTGGAATAATTACAACTTCTCCTCCTACTTCTGATACTGCTCGTATCTGGGGAGTCACGACTTCATTTAAATTTTATTTTCTTAGTATGAATTTATTCCACACTCTGGATCTCTTAACATAAAGGAGCAATACAGTTGAAACATGTTTCAACCTTCAAAAAAAATCTAGCACAGTCATAGTGCTGTTCAAAGAAATAGATCCTGATTGTCTAGAAAATTAGAATCAGAGTAGTATTACTTCAAGAAACAGGAAGAAGTTCTCTGGAGCGGGCTAAACCAGAGTGATCCCAGTTATTGATAAAGAAAGGATAAGCCTATCCCTATGCGTGTGTGAATATGGTGACCACTAAAGGATGAAAAGCAGCCTTTGGGTGCCTCCATGGCTAATAAGGGCAAACACACCCTGCCTGTCACTTGCCAGGGTCTGAACACTGTGAACATCTGTCCCTGGGTCTAAGCACCACCGCGAGACCATGTCCCCTTTCCCTATAGAAACTGCAGTAAACATCGCTTACTCCTGTAATATACTTGAAGATGAAATGGAAACAGTGTTCATTGTGAAAGGCAACGATGGGGAGACTGTTCAGCAAGAGCTCAGGTACAGATGGGAGAATGACCACAGCCAACCCTTAGACCCAAAACTTCCCAGTCGTCTCTTCTCCTTTCCAGTGTGTACCCCCCCCCCCAACTCCAACAGAAGGAATAGGGAAGAAAGAGAAGGAGAGGACAGAGAGCTGAGATATGAAGAGAATGTTACAAAGAAGCAGTCAGCTCGAGGAGCTGGAGAGTAGATGATGGAGTGGTATGGCATGGTGGTGGTCGGGACCTAAGGCAGTGGCAGGTGCCAGGAGGCAGTAGAGGCTGAGGTCCCACCTGCTTTCTCCCTGGGACCTGCTTTCCTCCCTCCCTAAGCTCTGCCCCTCTTGGCTTCCAGGGAAGCAAGGAGCAAGATGAAACCTGACTCTCTACTGGACTCAGACCCAGTGAACATCTTTCTTGCCCAGAAGCCCAAAATTCCCTTCGCAGTGCCTGAAGAGGTGCCCAATGGCAGCTACGGCCTAATCATCAATGGCTACAGTCTGGTGGGCAACACAGAGCTACAACTCTGCTTTCTCCTCCCAGGAACTCTCTCTTCTCATGTCCAACCAGGGGAATTGCAAGAGGCCTCCTTTAGTCTATAGGTCATCCCTTCTTCCTCCCCGAGACACCCTTGCCTGGAAGACAATCTTCTCAGGGTCTTCTAAGCAAGAATAAGCAAAAAGAGAAGGAAAGGCCTATTCTTTCTCTAGCCAAATTCTTTATGACCTGGGATGGACAGTCACTCAAGGGAGGGGGGAAAAGCAAAGCAAAACCAGATCCTCCTGGATGAACCTTAGCCTCGCAGTGCTGTCAGCTGACTTGACCCACGGAGAGGCTTTAATGGGTTTCCTTCCCGGGGGCTGAGTCAGGTGTGAGGATGTCTAGTACAAGCTCAAGGGCTTGGCATTCCTTGGGGGTGGAGCAGCAGAGAGGACAGGGAAAAGCCTGAGAGTCTTGGTGGGCAAGCTGAAGGATGGGTGTGTCCTGGTGCTGCAGGCCCACGCTCTAGAAGGGCAGCTGGAGTTGGAACTGCTGCGAGTGGCATGTATGTGCAAAGCGGTGATCTGCTGCCGGATGACACCCCTGCAGAAGGCCCAGGTGGTAGAACTGGTGAAGAAATACAAGAAGGTGGTGACACTGGCCATCGGGGATGGGGCCAATGACGTCAGCATGATCAAAGGCATGTAATGGAGGGGGTGTGGGACAGCAGACCCCCATCCAGGGGCTTGCCCCTTCCTTCATCCATGGGTCAACCTAGTCTGTTGATGCAGCCGTCAGCCCCCAGGCACGCACACAGCTCTCACAAGGACACACACATATATGCACAAGGCAGCATGACTATGACACCATAATTTGGGGGAGCAGCATCCCAGCCCATAGAAAGAATTCTTGGTCACGAGTCATGGCCTGCTCGTGTTTGGAGGCTGTAGCCTATGAATCCCATGCAGCTTGCTGGGAGCTGTTGTTTTCAAGAACTTGCCCTGGCTCCCCGCACTGGAGAACAGGTGATTTACAGATCATATGGTGGGTGAATAGAAGCAAATAGCTGAAAATTACCAGCTTTGATTTCATTCTCCAGCAATTCATAGATCTGTGAGTCTGGGGGACAACCAGGAGGTCCCCTGGGCCAGCCTCTCCAGGGCACAGGAAGCAGAGTAGACCCCTACACAAAGCAGTGGCCCAGCTCTCATCAGGTTCTAGAACCTTTCTTAGACCCAGTGGTATTGGAGGTTCTGGTTATCCCATTAAAGCAATAGCAATTACACAATACAATACAACACTGTAACAGTGAATTTGGCCAGATTTCCTGAAGCATGAACTTACTGCTCACAAAGTGTGTGCATCACATACTCCTCCCAGCAGTTGGGATTCTACCCTCTTAGATAAGCTTAGGGAATTCAATATACTGTGGTTAGACTGGCAGTCATTCTGCATTTTTAATCGATCCAAATGACTCCCAGAGATAACAGAGAATTTAAACCTGAGCATCTGGGCAGTAAGAAAGAGGCCAGGTGACTGGAGCAGGGGCCAAGAACATCCAGTTCTGATTCCTTGCCAGGCCTAGCAGTATCTTCTCAATGTACATCATCTCAGCCTTTCTACCTGCTGGGCTGGGGAGCCCAGAAAGTCAGTTCTGTGGCTGAGAAATGTCTGGGTTGCCTTGCAGCTGCACACATTGGCGTAGGGATCAGCGGCCAAGAGGGGATGCAGGCCATGCTCAACAGTGACTTCGCCTTTTCCCAGTTCCACTACCTTCAGCGCCTAATCTTGGTGCACGGCCGCTGGTCTTACAATCGCATGTGCAAGTTCCTCAGCTACTTCTTTTACAAGAACTTTGCATTTACCCTGGTGCACTTCTGGTATGCCTTCTTCAACGGGTTCTCTGCACAGGTAGGAGACCAGCTGATAATCTCTACTCTGGTGAGCAAGTCGGTCGCTTCTCGCTGTCTGCCTTCCCTGGAGACCCAATGTATGGCAAAGATATGCTGCCAACTAGCCACAAAGCCCTTCTTCCTGTACTGACCTCACTGTCCCACCCTCCAACAAGTCTTGGGTTTCCCAGTGAGCACTGTTCTCAGCCTGGCTCTCATTTGACCTTGGCATCCTCCTTCAGGACTCTTATGAGCCATTTTCACCTCTCCCCCTGATGTTGGCACCTAGCATTTCCGAACTTGCCATGGGGGGGAGTTGCTGGCTTGGAAGATTGTCTTACTATCCAAAGTCATCTTTATGGAGCAGGCCAAGGAGCCTGAAAGTCACAGCAGACAGACTGACCACAGGCATTCTGGTGTAGCCATCCTGGCACACATTGCTTTCCCTTTCTCCCTCCTCCCCAGCATCACTGCCATGCTTTTGCTCCAACCACAATTCTAATGAATTAATTCCCACTTTGTGAACTCTCCTGCTACACTAGCGGCATGGCAGGGGGCGGGGGTGGGAGGGAGTGATGTCTACATTTGTTCTGAAAAGAGTAGCTTTTCCTATGAGAAGTTTTTTCTGAGTGCCCCCAGGAGAACCCATGTCAGGAATGTTTGTGTCAGAAGATGCCCACTATCTTGGTTTCCATAGGCACCAGGGAAAAATTCAACAGTTAGCTAGATTTTTATGTACCCCACCTGGGGCCTAGGGGAGCCAGTTGGGGGTTGTGGGAAGTGCGTGTGTTCTGTATGTATCACTCCTGACCTCTTGTGGCTGGTTAGAAAAGGGGTGCCTGTGAGGTTGGATCTATTGCAAATTCTCAAGGTTAGATATCCTTGTGATGCCTTGTGAAGCAGGTTAAGCCTCCCACAGCACTGGCATCCCCTGTGGGTGCCAATTCAAGGAACTGTCCAGCGCACCAAAAGTCACTGACAAAACGACCCAAAGGTGCATGTTTGTGAGTGTGGAGGTAAGGCTGCCTTCCCCAACAGCCACTTCTGGATAACAGCACAGGTTAGAGCAGGCTTGGTTCAGATCAGCCCTGAGAGTTTGATGTTGACTCTGCCCCAGCCTGAGATTCTGGCTTCTAAATAAGTTAATATCAGAGCCTGAAGGTGGGGGAGCATTGCGGTCAGATTTTGGAAATCCAGCTCTGGCCCTGAGTTAATGTAGTGGTGGGGTGAGTGAGTTGAGGCTTTGGGTTAATGTAGTGGTAGAGTAAGTGAGTTGAGGCTTTGGGTTAATGTAGCGGTGGGGTGAGTGAGTTGGGATTTTGGGGGAGGAGAATGGGGTGCTGTTATAGAGCTGAGACTTTGGAGAAGAGCCTTGAAACTCTCCTGGACATTCTTCCAGACAGTTTATGACAACTGGTTTATCACCTGCTACAATTTGATCTACACCTCCCTCCCTGTTCTGGGCATGAGTCTGTTTGATCAGGTAAGACCTAGGCCTCCTCACTGGGACCCAAGCCAACCCCCTACTTCCTGCCCCAGCCCTTGAGGAATATTACTAAAGGGCAGAAAAACAGCATGAGCTAAGCTATATTGAAGCCAACAGAAAGGGGATAATTTCTTGAACGGGAAAGGGAGCTCATAGCCTAGATATCATGAGAGAGCATGAAGAGCCCTCTTCCCCAGGGAATAACCATCCACTGTAGAAACAAGCCATATTTTCCTGTGCCAATTTTGCCTCAGTGGAGGGAAACATGGAAATTGTACCACACAGTGAGCGTATATGAAAGTAAGGAGAGGAAACAGTTATTGGGACAGAATTGGACAAAGCATAGAGATTCAAGACAGGAAAATAAAAAAAGAAAGACCCTGGGGGGTGGTGCTGAGGTACAATGGGTTAAGCCACTGCTTGTGATGCCAGCATGCCATAGAGGTGCCAAGGCAAGTCCCAGCTGCTCCACTTCCCATCTAGCTCCATGCTTGTGGCCTGGGAAAGCAGCAGAAGATGGTCCAAGTGCTTATTCCTATGCCACCTATGTGAGAAGACCTGGTTGAAATTCCAGACTGTTAGAATTCCAGCAGGTAGAAGATTTTCTCTCCCTCCCTCTCTCTCTCTCTCTCTCTCTCTCTCTCCAGCAACACCTCCCCCCCCCCATGTAATTCTGCCTTTCAAACAAATAACCAAATATTATAAAAATGAAGAAGAAAGGAAAGACACATTCCTAGCCAGTGGGTGTGAGACAGGCCAGCTCAGGAAGACCTAGATAGGAATCCTGAAAGCCAAGCTTGGAGGTGTGGGTCTGATGTCACGAAGGTCAGCCCAGGTGACACCATCTCACTATCAGCAACTCCTTGGCATCCCAGCAGTCCCTCCTCTGCCACCCTGGCCTTCACGCCTTGGCACACAGAGTAAAAAGGAGCCTCCAAGAAAAATCAAGTCACTGAGATGGCAGACATGAGCTCATGGTGCCCACCTTCTCCCTGGATAACAGCTCTAAAGGGAACTCTGGATGAAGTGGCTGACAACCTCATGCTGGGAAGAAGGATGCTCTGGGCTGTTCAGCAGGCCTAGGGATGCAGCCTGAAGCCAAGGCCCCAACCTGGTTATCCAAAGGTACATATTCGGGAGATGAAGACCATCCATTGTCATACACTCAGAGGATCTCTCACCCTGAGTTCCCCAGGTATGGGGATGGGATTCACATTATAGAATGTGAATACTTCTGAAGGATTAATTGGTCCTCCTTGGCTTCCATTTCTCCTCCCATTTTCTTTTAAGATTTGTTAGAGAAAAATGGACAGAGAGAGGGAGAGACAGTCTGCTTTCTGGTTCACTCCACGTGATAGCTCCAATGGCTGGGGCTGAACCAGGTGGAAGCCAGGAGCCTGGAACTCCAATTGGGTCTCTCAAGTGATCTAATTCCCCCATCTGGGTGGCCAGCGGTCCAAGCACTTGGGCCATTTGCTACCACTTTCCCAAACACATTATCAGGGAGCAATGGGGACAAAAAGGGGAGCAATGGGGACAGGAACTGGCTCCCAAATGGGATGCCAGTTTTGCATAGGAAACACTGACACCTTGAAGACTAACGTCCCATTGCCTCCCCACCCCAAACTCATTCTCCGTTCCAACCAACCCTAAGACTAGTTGCCTCCCTTCACATCTCCCCAGCCCTGGTTCCAGCCAAGCCCCTCGCACCAACTTGACCTAGCTCTCTCCCACCACCTAGATCCTTGTCTACAGATAGGACTTTGGGAAGGTGGGGAGGAGTGGGGAGTCTGTGGCCACTGCCCTATTCTCCAGCTCCACTTCTCAGGTAACCCTATGGGGAATCCCATAGGCATACTGGCCACAACGTCAGGACAGGGAGACACCTCCTCCCTGCTGGAGACCTTGTGGGGAGACCCCAACCCAACCCCCTTACCTTGTGCTGCTTCCAGGATGTGAGTGATGTGTGGAGCCTGCGCTTCCCAGAGTTGTATGAGCCGGGCCAGCACAACCTCTACTTCAACAAGAAAGTATTTGCGGGCTGTTTAATGCATGGGATCTTCAGTTCCTTCGTGCTGTTCTTCATCCCCATGGGGACCATTTACAGCACGGTGCGCAGCGACGGGAAGGAGATCTCCGACTACCAGTCCTACTCCCTGATGGTGCAGACCTCCTTGATCTGCGTGGTCACAACGCAGGTGCCAGTGCGGCGGGGCGGGACTGGCAGGGGGCGCTGACGGTGAGTGGGAGAGAGGGAGTCAAGAGAGAGCGATGGAGGTGGGAAGGGAGCATCTCGCCTACAGAGTTGGAGAAGCACGGTGGCGGAAACGTCCCAAGCCACAGAAGGCTGCACATAAAAGGCTGCTTTTCAGATCGCCCTGAAGATAACCTACTGGACGGTGATAAGCCACTTCTTCATCTGGGGTAGCCTGGGCATCTACTTCTGCATCTTATTCCTCCTGTACAGTGATGGATTGTGTCTAATGTTCCCCAACGTCTTCCAGTTCCTAGGTAAAGTCCTGCCTGGCAGGGTGGTGACAGGGGAGGGGAGGGCAACTGGGGGTAAGGTGGAGCAGTAGTTGCACTAAGCATGTTTATTTCACAAATATTTACTATGTGTCAGGGTATGTGGCTACAAGTATGATTATCTGCCATTAAAAGACTCAGAATCTAAGCTGGAAAACTGCATTATGAGAATTCCCATATTGTCTTCCAGTGTCTCGTCTACTTTGCTAACAAGCATACCTAGGAGGTAGGCAGGGCAAGAATTGTGGCACCATTTTGGAGACTAGAATTTTCTTTTTAAGGACTCAAATCCAGGTCTCCAGTTTTCTACATCAGGGTATCCTGCCTCCTCGTTGTCTCCTACGTTAATTTTTCTAAACACAGAGAGAACAGACATGTAGGTGCAGTTGGTGCCCACCCTTTGTCAGGCCATGAACTGGTTTTTCTCCTCCAAAATCCATTCCTTTTTTTTTTTTTTGGTAGCCAGACCTATGCTCTGGAATTTCCTCCTAACCTTCCGCACCCATCCTGTCCTGGCCCAGCCCTGCCCCTAGAGGGAGACAAAGGCAGGTGAATTCACCAAGTCCTCCTCTCAGGAGACTAGACTGTCCCCTTCCTCCGCCTGGAGAGGAATCTAAATTCCGGCTTGTGGCCTCTTCCTCTGGACTCTGTCTCAGCCTTGGCCCCCCTGGCTCCTTGCTTACAGGTGTGGCCCGGAACACTCTGATCCAGCCGCAGTTGTGGATGAGCGTCTTCCTCACCGTGATCCTCTGCATGCTGCCCATGATTGGGTACCAATTTCTCAAGCCCCTGTTCTGGCCCATGAGTGTGGAGAAGGTGAGTGGTACCAGGAATCTCTCCCAGATGCCATTCACAGTTCTCTTCGTCTCCATGGATTAAATCCTCACCCCCCCCCATCCCTCCCTGTGCTCTGGATATAGGTTCTAAGGAGAATTCAACTCGTGAGGCATCCTCCGCCGCTTCCAAGCCGGGCCAGACGGAAACACCCAGGCCTCCGGCGTTCTGCCTATGCCTTTTCCCACCAACAGGGCTTTGGAGCCCTCATCACTTCTGGCAAGACAATGAGGTCCAAGGGATCTAGAAAAAGCAGCTTTCCTTCCAAAAAGTAGGGAAGCCCCAAAGTGGTCACCTGGTGCTCTTCCTCTCTTGTCTGCATCAGTTTAAGAAGGAAGGCTTAGTGTTCCAGGGAAACCCACAGAGACCTGCTCCTCTGCTCCCAGCCTCTCCATTCCCCGGAAGGCTGTGCCCAGGTACAAGCAGAGGAAGGTAAGGCAAGGGCTCCCCCAAGAGCTCTGCCTGAAGTCAAAGCCTTTCAAGCACAGGCAGCCTTTGGCCTCGCTTCCCTCACACCTGTTAACTTCTAATCCAGAAATGTAGACACGGAACGAGGTTGTGAAGGGAACAGAAGACAGGCCCTAAGGATGTAACTTTGCGTCCCATCCTGTCCCCCACCCCCCATGCTACCTGGAACATTCCCTAGACCCTCTTGGTGCCCACACATGACATAGTCCCACCCAGGCACCCTTCTTGGTTCATCTGGAAGATGAAGGGTGAGTTGTTTGCCAGCACTGGGGACCAGGAGGAGGAGGCAGCTGTGAAGACTTGGTCTTAAGCCGAAGAAAGTTTCTGGACCAAAAAAGAAAGAAAAATGAAAGCAGATCCTGCCTGTCTAGGCCAGCTCTAGGTCTGGCCTTCTTTTCCCTTCTTTGACCTCTGACCTGTGCAGGCCTCAGATCAGGAGGCTGGGATGGGTACAATGCAGAGGACTTTTAAGAAAGTCTTTCCTTGTGGTGATGTGAGCCATAATCGGTGAGTGTTTGCCATTATCCCATAAAATTATTTTTGAGAAGAAAATTGTCTGTACTTGGAAAAATTATAAGAAGTTTATGGAACAATGAATTTCTTATTTTGGAGTGGAGAAGATTTGTGTGGTCTGCCAGGGGCCCCAAGGGACAATAATACAGTGTGCACGGCTTTGTAGACTCGAACTGTGACCCCTGCAGCTCCCATCCATTCAGATCAAAGACAGTGAGTGAATCCCATGCATTATTTTTCCAAACTTGCCTCTTACCCTTTTCTTTCCCAATAAAGCTTGTCCTACATCTTGTTTCCAGGAGTGCTTCAGGGCCTTTCTATTATGAAGTACACCTACTCACAGCCTCGCATCTGAAGCGGCTGTGAAACTACAGTTTGGACTCATATCCCCACCAGAGCCCTGAGCAAGCACTATGCTGTGTACATAGGGAGATCTGAGTCAGCCGAGACAGTAGATGCCTCATTGCCAAGGGACAGGTGAGATGACCTGGTAGAACTTGCCAAATGTCTAGGTTTGATTCCTACTGTGGCTTCTGGATCCAGTATTTATTTATTTATTTATTTATCTATTTATCTAATTATTTATTTATTTTTGCCTTCCTTCCTCTCTCTCTCTCTTTCATCCTTTTCCTTCTCTCTCTCTCTCTTTTTTCTTCTTCCCCTCCCTCTTTTTTTAAAAGATTTATTTTTATTATTTTTTTATTGGAAAGGCGGAGCCTCCCTCTTTTTTTATTTATTTTTATTGAAAGGCAGTCACAGAGAAGGAGGAGAGAGCGAGCGAGCGAGCGAGAGATCTTCCATCCTTTGGTTCACTTCCCAAATGACCACAATGCCAGAAGGCAGGACCATCTTTTAGGTTTCCCACACAAGTACAGAGGCCCAAGGACTTCAGCCCTTTTCTTCTGCCTTCCCAGGCCACAAGCAGGGAGCTAGATCAGAAGCAGGGCTGTTAGGATTTGAACCAGCACCAATCTAAGATACTGGCACCACAGGCAGAGGCTTCCTTCCAATGTGGACCCTGGATGACAGCTGTGGTGGCAAAGTGGTTGAGTTCTGCCACCCATGTGGGAGACCCGGAATGAGTCCCCCGGGCCTACAGACATTTGAGGAAGAGGCTAGTAGTTGAAACTTTCTCCCTTCCGTCCATCCCTCCCACTCTAAAATAACTAACTAAATAAATAAATAACTAAATAACTAACTAAATAAATAAAATAAGGGGGAGGGAGGTATCAAAACAAGTTTCTTAACTCTCTTGCTGCATTCAGCTTGAGCAAAGGGACACACATTACAGATGCATCTCTGGAGAGAATTATTAGTGGGTCTGAAGAACGTTCTAAGAAAAATACTGGGAGAGAGTAATAGGATTAACATGTCTGGGGACCTAGTGGATGGATACCTTGGGGTGTCCTCGAGGGGAGGAGCCTCTACCCTTCTCCATTTCATCTGCAGCAGAAACACAGGGAAGTGTATTCCAATTCCCAAAACTCGTTCTCTGTTTGCTCCAGTGTTCACAGGAGGTGTGCCTGCTCCTTAGTATGTTACAGGAGGCTCTGCATCTCAAAGCTTGGCCATCTTCCTCGGTTGTCTTCAGCACATCTCACACCTCAGTCCCATAGCTGTTCCCCATCACCCTCAGCCAAGTGACCAGCTGCCCCCACCTATCTTCGGCTAGAAGCAGCAGGGGGGAAACACAGGACTCTTCCATGGTTCTTCACAACCTCGTTTAAGCCTGGGAAAAGTGTCCTCCGTCTTACCAAGGTTTGTTGACAGCCTGTGCACATGGTGTCAGAAGCAGGAGAATCTGCATCCCCTGGGTTCCTCCAGCTACACTTCCAATTCGAGCTTCCTTAACTGCGCACCTTGGGAGGCAGCAGATGATGGTTTAAGTACTTGGGTCCTGACCCTCATCCTCATGTGGGAATCTGATTAGTGACGTTTATGGAGTGCACCAGATACCAGATGTCTCTCTTGAATGAGGCGGGGGAGCAATCCAAACCGCAGCCCGAGGTGTCGGGTAAGGCTGAGGCCTTCTTGCTGTTTTTGTCTGTTTTGTTTTCACGAGGTTCCACCAGGGCCTCCAGGACCAAGAACCACCGCTTTTGGGCGACCCTGGGGGCAATTTGGGCCCACGCCCCTGGGCCCCCGCAAGGCGCCCCGGCACCACCCGCAGGGGCGGGGCGCAAGCCACACGAGGCGGGGCCGCCGCCGCAGCCTCGCCCCGCGGCTCTCGGGGAAGCGCCGCGCGTGACTCCGGCTGCGCCCGTCTCCACAGGAGCAGGGGCACGGCGGGCCAGCCCCGCAGGCCCAGCGGCCCGAGCCCACGCGCGGGGTGTCCTGAGGAGCAGCCCAGGTCGGCGCCTCGGCGCGGGGCTGTGGCAGAGGGGCGCCGGTGCTGAGAGGAGGAGGGCCCGGCGTGTACCGGCTGGAGAGCGCGAGCCGCCGCCGCGCCCGCGCGGGGAGGGACGAGCCTGAGGAGAGAAACCAGGTAGGAACGCCTCTCCCGGGGCGGCCGCTGGCGTCCCGGAGGCCCACCGCCCCCGCGGGCCGGGTGAGCCCTGGCGAGGCCCTCTTTCTGCCCGTCCTGCCGGCCGTGCCCCTCAGCCCCACCCGCCCGGTCCTGTCGGTCCCTCCGGCAGACCTGGCCGCAGTCCTTCTGCTGGCTCCTTCCTTCCACGCTCTGTTGTAGGGAACCATCCCTTGGGGCGTTACCCCAATCCACCCCTTTCTCAGACGCCTCCCCCACCCACCGACTCGTGCCCTGTGGTCAGCGTGGCCATAACCCCTGGAGGCAGCACAGCTGGCTGCCTGGCGCCCGCGACCTGTCCATCCGCGCCCTCCGTCCGTCCCTTTGGGCCCCCTGTTTTCCCAGTCGGCCTTTGCCGTGCCTGGGATCTGTCTCCCCTGTCTGATCTGGGGAGAACCTTGGCTTGGCGGTTTACCCAGCCCCCACCTCTGCGCTTGCCTGCCGCCAAGGGCAGCTGCGATCCTGTGGACCCAGGCCAGCGGTACTGACCGCCTGACCCCGCCCTGTGGGCCTAGGAGGCCGCCCTGGAGGAAGGACCCCACATTGATCATCTCTCTATCCTTCTTCCTGGCACAGGCGGGAAATCTGTGATGGCTGGGTGGGGCTGGGTGAAAAGATGAATGAATGAATGAGCCCAATGCAGGGGCTGGGAGGCTGTTGTGCGCCTAAGTGGGAAAGGTGTCCATGGTTACATAAAGGGACGAGCATCTGGGGGATTACTTGATCTAACCTGCCTTTCCATGATGCATTCCTCTCATTGACAGGGACGTGTCTTTGCATCGCTGTTTTCTGTTTGTGTTTTGTTTACCCCAAAGGGAGTGGAGGCCGGGCTGGGGCTGAGCCCTGGCAACTTCCCAGGAGGATCTTAGACTAGGTGCGTGCTCCCTCCGGGGCTGGATTCTACAGGACAGCCGCCGCCCTCACGGCTGACTTGCTGTGGCGGGTCAGCTGGTTCATTGGGCCGGGCTGGAGGAATGAAGGATCCAGTTATGTTAGCCTTGAGGTCCTGGGTGCCTGCTTCTTGTAAAGACAGTGGAGTTACAGTTGCCCCATGCCTGCCTGGGGTCCTAAACACCGCTCTGGTGGGGGGGGGGGCATTTGTGTTTGTGCCAGTCCAATTCTGGACAACAACAGGAGCCTTATAAAGAGCATGGCACCCAGCCCCCGTTTCTATGGATTCCTGGGAGGATGCGCTAAGCAGATTTAGTTCCCCAAGGGAAAGGCGGGATTTGGAGACTTCAGTTTTGGCCCAGGTTGGTTGAGGGAAGAGGATGGTATTGCTGAGCAAGGAAACAGTCTCTAGAAAGCTGTGGGAGTTTATAGGCTAGGAAGTAGTTGCCCAACTGGTAGTGGCATTACTGGAACTAGAGCTCAAAATATTAACAAATGGGAGTAGTAACTGGGCGTCTCAGGAGGCTCCTTGGATTCCAAGCAGTGGGCAGACATTGTAGAAGGAAGGGCAGGAGCAGGCCGTGTTCTGGTGTTTTGGAAGTGTGCTCCTCATGCTGCCACGGGGCAGTGAAACACTTGCCACCATCCCCCGCCAAGTCACAAGCTGATTTCCTCTAAGTTTTGTGTTGACATTTAACATCCCTTTGGAAGCCAAGCCTGCCTTCACTGGAGACCAAATGTGTTTTCACTCACCCATATCCAGTTTTTGATTTCTCATTCCCTGCTTTTTTTCTAATTTATTCGTTCAGAGCATGTCTTAGAAACTCAACGTTGGGAGGGGCTCATGAGCTGAATTAAGCAATGCGTTTTTCCCCTTGTAATCAACACATTGTAAATGCAACTTTCTACTCTTTTCCTGGGTAGGTTCCCTGATGAAATTTTGGTAACCCCAGAACACCCTGGATTGCTTTATTCATTTCCTCCTTTCTTCCAATACTCCAGGGCATTGCTAGAGGAAAACATGGGATGCCCAGTTAAATTAGAATTACAGATCAACAGCAGGTCCCGTGGTGTTGCCTGCTAAATCTGGTAACCCTAGTTCATGGCGAGGCTATGTCTTCTATTTTTCTCTCGGAGGCTTGCCTGAGAATGGAGGACAACAACTCACTCTTCCTGTTACTCACGATGACTGTGCACCGTTTAAAGTCACTTGACTGAAGAGACGGCTCTCTGCCTGTGAGGGTGAGGTGGGATCTGAGTGGTGTGATTGATCAGTGTCGAAGTTACCCAGAAAAACACCCACTCACGCATTGGCATACAATATTGTAGTTTCTGTCAGATGAGTCCGTCATTCAAAGCAAGAGCATTATTTTGAGTGGCTAGATGTCATGATTGCTGTTAGCCAAGTGGCAGGGGTTGGAGGAAGAGAAGGCAGAATTCAACCAAAACTTACCCTAGTTAACTCTCCATGCTCAGGGGGCATTGGAATGTTCACAATGTTGTACAATCACCAACCATCTCCAGAAATTTTTCTTTTCTTTTTTCAATCTTCCCAAATGAAATTGCCAATCAG